TTCAAAAAATTAAATAAAATCGTCTCCATTGTCCCTTTAACCAATTCATTGAGTCCTTCAGTCTCGTTCGGCTGGGTTAAATAAATGCTGATGCGCAAGATTGTCTTGAGCAGTGCCGAGAGTGCTCCCTTTCCCTCTTTCAGTTCATGGAATAGGAAGAACAAGCTTCTTTGCCATAAACTTAGTGTTGCAAGGTAATCCATGGGCACAAAAAACAACAACATTTTGGGTGGATTCGGAGGAGATTTGCTGGATTTTAAATAAAAGATTCTAAAAATTAATTAATTGTTAACTCATCTTCCTTAAAAAAAAAAATAGAAAGAGGTGACTCTTCACCTTGACTTTAGGCCATTTGTAAAATCTGGGGAAGGGAAACAAGGTATCAGAAGAGGTGTTGGATATTCGTTCTTTGGATATAATCCAGGAATGTGTAATTGAAATTGACCCTGACAAGACTGCTCACATTGACACATTTGATTTGATTTTTCTCATGTCTGCTCAACTCAAGACGGTTAAAATACAAATAGAACGAATGCCAAACAATTGACGCGATTCTCGGGAGTAATCATTTCGTTTCACTGATCCGCCTGAACAATAATTGTGTGGGGTTTATCAATACTTATCGGTACACGCTGAGAGAACGGAGTATATATCAGATATAGAGTTACAAGCAAGGATCAGGAGAATACAAGAGAAAATTCCGCAGAGATAGCCATATTTTCTATAAAAATTCCGGTCAAGACTGTCACATTGCAGGGTGACTCGGGGGGGTGGAGACCAGCAGAGTTTGAAGGAGCTCTTTATTTTTACTGCGGGGTTCTGACGTGTGAATTCCAATCAATGTTTTTCTTGGGCTTTGGGGGAAAACGCGCAAGGCGTTTCCTTGAGTTGGATGAGCTCCAACGCACTCGCGAGGAAAGTCATTGGGGGGAAACAAATTTTAAACGGCGCCTATCTTTACAGCCTGCGAAGATGCGCAAGAACTATACTTTTTGCCCAATCAAAAGTTTGGCGCCGAATCTTGCGATTCGGCAAAGCCAAACTTTTGCCAAACTTTTCTAGAGACTTGGGTTGCCAAAGGCATGGTAGCGCTTTTTTGGACGAGGACAAAAGAAAGAAAGACAAGACAGACACGAGCGCTCGTGTCTGTCTTGTCTTTCTTTCTTTTGTCCTCGTCCAAAAAAGCGCTACCATGCCTTTGGCAACCCAAGACCAATACCAACTAGCCCAATATACAGCTTTTCTAGAGATTCGGCAAAGATTCGGCAAAAATACATTGTTACTAGACTTAACGTTGAAATTTAGTTTTTTCTGGCGAAAAAAGGTTTTATGTTTTTTTTTTCCTTAACTTAAATGCAACATGTAATTTATATTGATACAGTTATTACTAAACAAGGTGATATTCTACTAAATAATTGTATCGGTGTCGTTTTTGTGTCTTTACTGGCAATTTTAGTGACTCCTTGCAGAGGTGGCGTGGTTGGGTTGGGTAGAAGCGAGCATGGCGCAGTCACGAATCGCGCTACGAGAGTTTTGGTTTTCAGGCATTATTAGTGCAAACCTGTATGTGTGTGTACATTGTTAAAATGAGGGCAATAACGCTGTGTTTTTGCTTTCTCTGAGACTCGCCATTCTGTGTGCGAAAATGAATCCAACGGTTGCTGAGCCTTCACCAGAGGAGATAATAATGTTATTGTAAATATGCATGTTTTTCGATTTGAATCACTTGACGTCAGCTTTGCATGAAAGTGTGCAAACCATATCAGCAACGTCTCGTTTTTAACCTTTAAAATGTCAGTTTCTGGTGTTAGGACACACACAAACGTTTAGGAAGATAGGGAGAGTTAGAAACGTCGGATGTGCAACGTCGAGCATTATAGTTCTGTGTTTAGTTTTATGCAGATACAGGAAAATCGCGAAACAAACGCTAATTGAAAAAGCAATATTATTTTGTTTTGGCACTGAGCCGAAAACAGAATTGTTATAATTGCGAGGAGTGCTTTAATTGTCGGCCAATGCTTCAACTACCTCGTTGCATCACTCGAAATGTCAAATGAAAATCACGTCATTCAGAATGTACCGCATCATTTGTTACTTGCGCAGTGGACTGCTTAATTTACTGGTCGATCTTCTATTCTTGAGGCAGAAAATATTGAAGAGAACCACACTCGTTCACAAACGCAGTTATCGTGTTGCCTACTCACTCCACACCTCGCCGTAACCACTGGTTGTACTACGCTGCACCACTGTGCACTGTTTGATAGTCACTAGTAACCGGGTAACCACACGACTGCACGGCGTACATTTGCAATCCACTGCCCCATCGCGTTCTTGCGCGTGCGCCGACATTTGCCGTATTTTTGCCGAACTTTCCTTCAAAAGTTTGGCATTTGCCGAACTTTGCCGAATTTGAAGTTCGGCAGATTTGGTCCATCACTAGCAAGGACTTGCATTGTTTGCTTTTTTTGTTGGTATGTGATCATCGCTGCTTTAGATATAAGTTGGCTAAAACGTTGGGATTGACTGGAAAAAAAGGGGGGGGGGGGGGGAGGGGGTGGCACCTGGCAGAGTTTTATTTTCTTTTACTTTTATTTCTCGCAATGACGCAGGATTGGAATGACGCGTGTGGCGTGCCACTGCATCTCGCTCGAGGATGCAGCAGCGTACCACACAGCTGCCATTTCTCGGCAGAGTGGGCAGCTGCAAGGGAGCAGCTGCCCGAGAAAGTGGGCAGCTGCGAGGGAGCAGCGTGTGTGCCATTTGGAAACAAAGGATTAATGATAAAAGAAGGGGAAGTAGAAGGAAAACGAAGGTGGCAGGTGGTTTCGATCATCGTTAAGGAGTCTTTCAGTTGTGATGTTGCCGTGGTGGAACTATTTAAGGCAGGAATAAGATATCTGCCCTATTTAGGATGTTTGCACATGTTTGCGCCATTGTGCATATGTGCGGACGACACCCGTTAGGGGTCTTTACAACTTCGATGTAGTCTAAAGACTAATGGGTCTCAGAATTAAACTAGCATTAAAAGTTGAAACATGCGTGCTTGTCGTTAAGCATTTCTTCTCTCTCACCATTTTCTTGGTGCATTATAAAAAATTTATGATTTTTTTTTTCTTTACACCAGACTTGACTATATATTAATTCGAGGGTGCTTCATTGACAGCTGTTCCACATACGTACAAATCGTGCCTTTCTAGGCACTGCTTTGCTCGACCACTGTTTTTAATTGCAGAGTCTAGGGGTTTACAATGAGAAATTGTAGAATCCCAGGATTCTACAAAATTGTTTTGTTTTCCAAAAAAAAAAAAAAAAAGCTTTGGCTCTATAAATTATAAATTCCCAAACCGTGTTCTTAGGAAACCAGGGGTCCTGCCCGAGCTCCTGAATTTCCTCGACACTTCACGCCCCCAACCGGGGCTCCGATTTTCGTCACCGCCAGAGTGAGATCAAATCTGTCTCATGCAGCACGTGAAGACAGTGTTTGTAGACGGTTCGTCCGCTACAAAGCGCCATTTGCAGACGGAAATAAAACGCATAAAAACCGTACGTTGCCAACTGACGGACCTAAAAAGAAAGCTAATCGTCTGCTACAAACCTAGCGCCGCGGTGGATTAAGATTGGACGCGAACGGAAGTTGCGGTCATCTGCTATTTTTTGTCAGAAGCCATTGACAACCCACACTTTTTGTGCAAACAAAAAGTTTGCACAAAAAGTTTTTGTTGCCATACACAATCTGACATTGACGGGTTGGTGGAGTTTTAAGGACAAGCACATCAGAGGCCGCAGCACCTTTCTCGCTATTTGGGAGTTGGCAAGGCAGTCTCACCCAAATCTTGTTCAATTTTGAACTGTTAAACGGGTGAAAAATGTCTCATTGGTTGATTTCACACAAGCTGTGATACCACGTCCAGTTAGAGGCCGAGGACGCTGGAAGGTTGAGAAACCCTCACATTAAACCATCGTTAGGCCCGCTTCAGACGGGGCAATTTTTCGAGCAATTTCAAAGTTGCTGGCGGGTTGTTCTCTAGCTTTCCGTAGATCAACACGAATGGCCGAGATCGGGTCCGGCTCGAAATGGACGAGCAACTCGAACAACTCGGAGACGTTTGAAGCGGCCACAGCTAATCAGGGACACAATATTTTCACGTGACACCTCTGTAGTGGTAATGATGACGGCTAAAGACTTGGCTCTGGTTTGATATGGATCGGTTCTTTCTTTCAATAGATCTTTTCAGAAAGATGAGTTAGTATTTTCAAAGCCATTTAAAGATACAGAAGCATGTCTTTAGCGCATAGCTGTGCGTTAAATGGTGCGAGAAAAATCAAACTGAATGATGATGATGATGATGATGGCAAGTTGTAGTAATTCGGTTGCTGTGTGTGAACCCGGGCGGGCCGCGTTGCTGGTGTTGTGACGTCAAGTTGCTGGGCGAAATTGCCCCGTCTGAAGCGGGCCTTAAAAGTTATTTTGTCTGGTTTCTTCGCATCTTACAGCCATGTCTAGTTAATACGGACCCCGTTAATGTGAATGCCCCGCTATGCACTGTAAATGACTTTATTTTCGTAAGCTTACTATTTCGCAAATTTTTGCTAGCGATGTGATTCTGGAATGTGTCGCAGACGTGAAATTTTGCGATTGACAGTGGGACGCTTTGTGTTTGTCACCGTGGTGTACTATATTCGCGTGATTTATTTTTCGCAATACTTTTGCGAGTTGTGAAAAATAGGCCTTCGCAAAAATTAAGTCGTCCACAGTGGACAAAATTTTCGGGAACAAACTGGGTAAGCACGTGCATGTTCGTCTCATTATTGCGACTCTCATTATGGCCGATTATTTGGGGGAACAGAGGCGTTCATATTAATGGGACATCGCTGTAGAGAAAAACCTAGACTGTTTTTCCCGTAACGAATCTGCTGCAACCCCGTGACGCGATGGATTTAACTCCGTTTCGATCCGAGGACACGTTCCCGATCTGTAACGGTTTCAAACCATGGTGCAGGTGGAGCTCGGCCTGCTGCAGAAGAGCTACCGGGCCCTGGCGCGGCAGATGAACCTCATCTTCAACCAGCGGCTGTGGTACATAATGCTGGAGCAGTTCCTCATGAAGTACATGTGGAGCGCCACGGGCATGGTCATGATCTCCCTACCCATCATGACCGGCATCACACCCAGGGTGGAGGACGACGACGGTACGTCCGCACCCCCCTTCCCCCCTCGCTGTCCTATCGACAAGTGATGTGCCATACCGTGTCCAAGAATTCCCTTTCTTTGGGTACAAAATTTCCCTATTTGAGGTACTTTTTCTTTGCAGAATTTTAAAATATCCCCGCATGTTTGCCTACATTTTTTTACCTTTATTGTCACAGCAGTTGATTTTTGTGGTCATGTAGGCCACTTTGCGCGCATTTTCTTACAAAAGCCGCTTGAAGTCACATGTTTAAAGAGAAGAAAATGTTAGTGGTCAATTTATATTTTCTTAACTAGATGATACAACCCTTAGACATGGCCGTTTCGCTGTGCCTAGTAGTCGTTCAGACACCTTCCTTCACCGTAACTTTCTCACTTTCTTGAAACTTGTGGACCACAAGATGGTTTTACTTTTAATATTTAGTTCTTCCCAAAGTTTTTTTCCTGAATTCCCTCGTTAATCCTCGAAATTCCCTGTAATCGCTTCAAGATTCCCGTTATCCTTTTCACCGAAGTTGAGACCAAAAAATTCCCCCAAAAAAGGGAAAATTCCCTACATGGAACACGTCTCCGACGGGTGTGTTAGTATCTGCCCACGCGTCAAAGGTGGTCCGGAAGCGGCAACCAATTGCATCGGAGGAGCTGCAGTGTCACATTGTCGCGGCGTCCTGTCTCGTGTCTGCTTCGGTTGTCCGGCTTCCGACGACAGGGAGGCCCTTCGGTTGTCCGGCTTTCAGCGTGAGCTTCCTACCTTTGGTGATGCTTCGGTGCCCCGCGAGCGTACGTCATGTTTCATGAGCGTACATGACCCATGCACGCTCATAAGTCTCGTAAGCCACGAATCCCATGAGCATACACGCACATCCAAAGTGCAACAGAATGTAATGAGCGTGGGATGGAGGCAGGGCGCCTGAAGCAGATGCCCTGTTGTTCTCGCCCCGTCGGTAACCTTAGCGTCCGTGTAATCTTAACCGCCTTGGCAGCAAACTGGGTTTTTTCCAAGTGTCGTAAGGCGGGCAAAACTCTGCATAACTTGGCTTCCGTCTCTTCCTTTTGTTTTACGTCTGTCCAATTTCTTTCTTTCTCGCTTTTTCCTCCACCCCCTCCGCCAGTGCGTGACTATCTACCCTCACTCGGGGAAATTCGGTCCTGCAATAAGAAAACGTCTTTTCAAATCGACTTTCAATTGATAGTCAGCACTTAGTCTGGTCGGCTCTCGTTCTCCGTTCATCGTACCTTCCGCGCCGTTTTCCCTAATGCATTCGCAGCGACCAGCCCAACTTTCCATCCTGTTGAGTTGGTCCTGGTTTCTTCCTTTTCTGACTTCCTTAACCACGCTCGTTTGCTTAGCCCATTATTCTGCACTTAGCAGGCCCTTCGATGTGTTTTCACTTGCAAATGGCAGCGAGGGCACCTATGCATGCTTTCGGGAGGAATTTGGCGACCCGGCACTCTGCTATTAAGACACCGTGCAGTTTCCTCTGTGGCTCATTATTACAGTCATTGAGGTAATGTGGTTACAACCTCATCCTTTTGGTCGGGGAAAAGTATGTCCTCGGAGGCGGCGTTACAAGTAAGCAAATAATGGGTGATGGAAAATTTAGGGTTGCTTCATATTTGTCACCAGTCTCATCAGCTGTATTTAGGCTGTTACAAGTAATTAACCAAATGAACTCTGACTTTGGATGAAATTAAATGAGTGCCAGTTTGTTACGTAGGTTGTTATCGAACATAACTACCAAAGGCCTGTCAGATCCTGGTCATAACTGAGTCTAAACAAACGAATCGCCAGTCGCACAATTCGAATTGTAAGTTGTCTTTTTCCCCAGTTAAAACAAGGCATATGGCGGGGATATGCCAAAATAAGAGTTACCGCACAGGATGCATGGGGACTGAAAAGCACTATGTTGTTTTTTTTAAAAATACCTTTATGTCTTTCAAATGTGGAAGTGCTCTTTTTGGAAATCCAGTTCTTCTTGTCTCTGTAATGTAAAAACATAAATACAGTGGAATCTCGTTAATTCCAACTCTCTTAATTCAAACCTGCGGATAATTCAAACTGAGATGCAGGTCCCATTCTATGTGTCCCCATGGGAGGAAACTCTCGATAATTCGAACTTCGCTTTATTCCAACAAATTTTCGGTCCCCCTCAAGTTCGAATAAACGAGATTCCACCGTACACTTGAAATCGCAATTTCCCTAAAGTGGCGTATTATGTGGTCTTTGGGTTTGTGGAATATGCTCGGCGTACTCTTGAAAACTCTAGAAAAAAGTGCTTAAATTCTTCACCAGAAATCTGTGAGCGCTCCGTTATGTATATTGCTTTGAAAACCAATCCGTTTCGTGGCGGTTGTTCAAACTGGTCAATCGAAGGTCGCGAGATGAAAATCAGTCTTTGATACCAATTCGTTTCCTCCATTCCATGAATCGATTGACTATAAAGGCCATCAGATTTGCATGCCACTACCTATTGACGAATAAATTGTGAAGCGACGTTTGCCTCTGTCCTTGGCTGCTTCCACTTAACTTTGAGGAGACCTTGAATCTTGCGATCTGCATATGTGGCCGAGAGTTAATGCAAGTTGAGGTATGGGCCACTTCACGATACCTTTTTCGTTTTGATTGCTGGCCAGCTTAAATGTTGAAGGGCCACTAAAAAGAAAAAAACTTTTTTTTTCTTTTTTAGGCAGTTTGGTTGGGACACAAGTGTCAAAAAATAAATTTTACGCAAGAAAAATTTTTTTTTTTTTTTAGAGCAATATTGACGGTGCGAGACGCAATTTCATTGGTAGTCACCTCCTTTCCGCTTATTTTGTCTCTCGGCATTTCAAACGCATGGAGGAGAGAAGCTGTGGCCATCACGTTGAGGTGGAGAGAGTGTATGACCATTCCTTGTTGGTATGAACTTCGCGCATAATTCAGACATAACTAAAATAAATCTCGTGCCATCAGTATTGCCGTAAAAAAATTTTCCGAGAAATTTTGTTTATGACACGCATGTCCAAACCAGATATTTCAAAAACTTTCTATTTTCTTTAAGTGGGCCTTTAAAAAACTGTGTCTGAGCATTTTTATTTTTAAAACATTGTTTTTGGGACATGTGGAACATTTCTTCTTTAACGTGTTTGCTGTCGCTCCAGTCTGAGGCACAGAATATGGTAACATTACTTTTTTCACCATTTCTAACTGCACTGCACAAATCGTGAGGCGGGAACAACAACCTATCCGTTGTGAAACACATTTGCTGTGTCGACAGTAAACAAAGCCATTTTGTCAATTTTTGGAGGACTTTGTCACATAGAAAATTGCGTAGCAATATATTGAAAACGCAAAAACAAGTCACAAACCACACTACAAACTACTTTGTCATCAACAGAATTCTCGCTCTTGATGGTGTTTCAGTAGAGTGCAGCCAAATTCTGGAGCACAGGAAGTTTGTGACGAGCAATTCAGTTTGTCGTATTACTGATTGCACCTAGCTTGCACCAGCACGAGCGCATCTAAAACATTACTGTATGCCCAAACATAAGGGCCCTCTCACGCATGTTTCGTAGCGTGCGCAGTATCACACACTTCTTAGAAATTTGGTCGTGCATGTTGAGGTGTCGACAAGCGTGAAACAACACATGACATAATGACGCAAGATGTTATTAGCTTGAGCTTGCACAACTTCGGTGGCCTCTAGGGTGACACAGAAAGAGCTCTCCGAGCTTGGACGTACCCGCGGGTTGCTTCAACAACAAAGCCAAGGACAGACAGAAAAAAAATATAATGAAGGCCATTTTTTTTGTTTTTTTTTTGTTTATTGATTGGATTATAGTCGAGCTTCCCTTCTCCCGCGCGCTACGGGAAGGGGGCTGCCCAGACGACTCGGTTGGTCGGACAGTCAAGCACAACAAAAAGCGAGAGTGTGCGTACGTAGTGATGCATTCCGTTGCAAAAGCAGCTGTTTCCCTCCCCCGCGACGATTGGCCTTGATGCCGATCACCCTCCCCTCTCCGCACACGTCACGAAGTCGGCCTTGATCTTGCTAAATGCCGGCCAGTCTCCACCCTGCTGTGCAATGAGGAAGAGTCTCTGACGCAACTGGAGGTGGACTGACCCAGTTGCTATGAAGCAGGTTTTGGGCGAGGAGGAGGGGAGGAGGAGGAAAGGTGGTTGGTCAGGAAATGATCTTTCTCCCTCCCCCTCCTACTCGGTCGGGTCCTTCTTAGTGCCCCTTATGGGTTCACTGACCCAGGAGGTTGTAACTGGCTGGCTCTTTTGCGTCGACATTTTCTTTTTCTTTTTTTGTCGTCGTTGTCTGCGGGGCGGCGGTGATTGCGGGTTCTCGAACGCGCACCCCTTGAGTTAACGGCGCTGTCGGTCTGCGTTTTTTGTTTTGGTTTGGGTTGGGAGGAACGGAATGAAGGAGTAGGAAATCGTTAGGATTTTTTCTTTCCTTCATCTATGGGACGTGTGTGTTGGTCGGTCTCTTTCGAGTTGCTGTTAGTGCTACAACGGAACAGATGGCATTTAAAATTGAGCGGCCTGCAATTTTAGAGTTTCTCTTAAGTCGAGATTGCTCGAGACAGTAGGAAAGAAAATTTCAAACAGTAAAAAGAAAGGTTAACGAAGACAGTTTACTGGCACTGTTTTTTGCTTACTTTGAGTGTTTCGATCCGGTATTTTATTTGAATGATGCGACAGACGTGAAGAGCATTCACGAGCTTCAACGTAAAAGCAGTGAGAAAGGCAACGAGATGGATGAAATGGCAGAGGGTGAGACGAGTGATAAATGCAGAAAGAAAAGATCCTGTGGGAAGTGCAGTTTTGTGTCGTCTTGGGGAAGGTTACCTCTAGGTGTAGGTGAATAATGGATAGGTAGTTGAACGGTATTGACTGTCACTCGAAAATCACTTGAATACCACCAATGCCGTTTTCAAATGTGGTCTTCCTGCTTAGTTTAATGTGGAGCATACACCTAGGGTATCACATTTTGTGTGAAATAAACAAAAAGCTAATGGCGACATCCCAAAAAATTGGCATTTCCTAGTATACAGTGTGTTTGATTCTGGTATGTGAAACATTCTGCTGAAAGCCGCATAGCACATTCTGAGAACTTTTATCTCCTCCATAGGTGCAACGTTATAATGCCAGGGTCATATTTCACAAACGCTAACAGCTGGATACTTAAGACACTGTTCAACGAGCAACTATCATCGGAATATTTGGGTGTAGCGTTTGAAATGGTGTCGTCGTGGGGAAGGTTACTTCTAGGTGTTGTTGAACAATGGATGGATAATTGAATGGTATTGACTGTACACTTTGCATTGGGTGTTTGCTTGCATCACCTATCTTACCTCATCTGCATCGCATGGTTGATGGTGGTGGCTCGCGTCATTGCTGAATCGGAAAATTTCGAAAAAAAAAAATGCCTAGTCACTGTCAGCACGAGAAACTTGGGGCTTGGCAAGTTTCGAGCATCTTATTATCGATTCGGTAGCCAATGAGATTGCGGAGTTAGCCGGTTAAGACACCCAAGAACGAATCCCGAAGCGAATAGCAGAAGCATAATAGGCCGTGCTCTGCATCGCTAGAGCTTGAACGTAAACATTCGACAGAGATTTGTCTAGTTGGGTTGAATAATTGAAAAAGGAGGACGTCGTACCAAGCGTCCAACTTCTTCGGGAGGGACTATGGCGACGACCTCAGCGGCCATCGCCACGGTCCCTTCCGAAGAAGATGCCGAGTAGGCCTCAGACCGTCGGACTCACAGTTAGGGCTCGGTTGTATGTCCTTCTTTTTGAAATTCTTTGACTGGGGACGCCCTGGTGGAGGTCTGCGCTAACGACCGCATGTCCCCTCTTCTCGCATTTGCAGACGACCTGTTCCAAGGGGACGACGGGGTGAGCACCCGGACCCAGTTCATCACGACGGCCAAGAACATCCTCATCGCCGGCGGAGATGCCACCGAGAGGCTCATGTCCTCCTACAAGGAGGTGAAGGACACTCTGAGCTCGCTTTGTTTTAGAGCAACCACGGAAGCTACGCGTCGTAGCAAGGCCTTTTCGACCGACTTGGCGCCTAAAATCACGGTTGCCAGTTATCCGAAGCTTTATCTTGAATCGAGGGAGACGGTTTTCCGTCCTCTGGAACCCTCGGAAGTTCCCGTAGCTCCGGAATTTCCTCGGCTGTTTCCGACCCTAAACGACGTGTTCTCCCGTATCGAGCTCTCTTTTAGAAGAAAGCTCGAAACCCGGATTCAGAAGATCTGGCGCGTAACAATGTGGCAGACACTCCCTAATGTGTGCACTGTTGCGTATAAGATCTGTAGACTTCTGCTCTGCTTTGTTGCATAGGTGCCAGGGCCAGAAAGGGTTCTGCACTGCTTCATTGCGAGTGCCCGGCGTTTCAGGCCTTCGAGGCGTGTTATGCGAAAGCTTTTTTTTTATCAGTGCATGTTATTGGGCGAGTTAGTGCTGGGGTCAAATACACGGTGGCACCTGAGATGAGCATGATATAGGAGACTGGACAACACAGAGCGCTGACTTCAGCCGTTTAATCATCGTAAATTGGGAAATATATACGCTGTGATTATTGCACTTAACCAATCCCAGGCCTCGCTGCCACTCGCAAGAACGCTAATCCTTATCTATGAGATCAATGAAGGCAACGCTGACACGGCCTGCGCTTGATCTTCTGATTACATCTGCTTCGATTATCTCTCTTACAGTCTTATATTTGTGTCTGGCAAGAACGGTGCACATGTTGAACGGAGGCCTCCTGCCGAGGTTTTGACAGTGAATTGAGAGATGGCCATCTCGATAGCTGAGGCCGCAAGCAAAAGTAAACTCTAGTCTAAATGAAACCAAAAGATAGCAGTCGTGTCGTATATGCACAAGACTGTGTGCAACCTTAAGAAAATAGCTGATGATTGTATAAACACAAAGGTAGTTTTTTTATGTGCCGGAAAAGCTCGCCAAGTTGTGTTGATTGATGAACCCTTTCCACAAAGCCTCACTGTGCTGCATGAAGAAACACAAGCCAGTTAGTTGCCTGTGCAGAGGGGTTATGTATCAGATACTGTTGTCATGTGGAAGGAAGTATGTTGGACAAGCAGGCAGATGATTAAATGATAGGTTATGCGAGCACTACCTAAACATTAACAGCTGTTGAGACGGCCATGGAGATGGCGTGGCGTCCTATTCTGCCCACGCATCGAAAGCGGTCCCGTAAGTGGCAATAGATGACATTGGAAAAGCCAGAGTGTCGCACTGTCGGACGTCGCGATACCTGCAGTCGGTCCGAGAAGTTCCGGCGAAAAACACGAGCAAATGCGAGTATTGTTGTTGTCGCTGCGTCCCAGACACTTTTACAGTGTCATTTGGTGCAATTTGAGGGACCACTTTTTTGTGTGCGGTAATCGCACCGGTCAGAGGCAGCATAACGTTGTGGCAACAAAGGCCCGAACCCATTTGGAGGTGACTGAACCTCGCGGCGTACCCTTGCAGATCACGGAGCTGGCCGGCTACACGGGGCGCGTGTCCAAGATGCTGTCGGTCTTCGAAGACGTGAGCGAGTGCCGCTACAAGCGCACCCTGGCGGTCACCAACGAGGGCTCGGTCAAGAAGGCCTTTGGCATGAAGGGCTTGACCTTCAGGGACGGCATGCCCGAGATCCGAGGTTTGTGCGGCGTGCTTGGACGCGAGACCGTTTTCAACTGCTTGATCGGGAACACGTGGTTTCCGGGCTGTGTTCGCGGTACTAGGTGCGAGGAGGAGGCGAAACATTCTGAACCATGGTTAAAAGTGCTAAAAAGACAAACACAAGAGAGCGCTTTTAACCTTGGTTAGAAACATTCTTCTCTCTTGTGTTCGTAATTTTTGCGCCTTGAACCATGGTTCAGTACGTTCATCACCAACTAGCCCAACAACAAGTACTTTCAGGGGAGGCGAGGGTGGGGAACGTTGGCAAGCGTTTCTGCCTTGCTTTGTGTCTTCGTCTACCATCCTCCTTGCCATGCAACAACTCGTGCGTGCGCGTGAGCAACCAGTCTGTGCAAAAGGTGACTGCCGTTAGATTGCGAGAGCTTGTCACTGTAGAATGCACCAGCGTTCTCTTATGTGTTGGTTGGATGTGTCGGCAGTGCCTGTAACGTTTGGCAGCTTTGAGAATAGTTCATGCTGAAGTCTGGGGAAACATCTCTCATCTTTGTGGAGTAGAGAAGCAAGTCAGTATAGTCGGGGACAAGACTTTCTGCACAATGGCAAAGTCCCAGTAACCCTTTCAAAAGAAAGAAAACGTGACAGCTTTTGTTTGGAAGGCAACGATTCCTTGAAGATTGTAATTTGAAACCCCATGCGTTAGACGCCAAGTAGTGCCGCGAAGTCGTTGCAAGAATCTGCGATCATGTTGAAAAAACGACATGAAACTTGGGAACATTGAGAAGGGGGAGTAGTGTTCTTCATTCTGAGATTTTATTTTATGGCATGATGCCTAGTCACTAGGTGCATTTCTGGTCGATCCTAACCACTAAACATGTGACAGTCATGTGACAGTCGTAGGGTTGTCTTTTATTTATTCAGAAACCTCCAGCAACGTGGGACAGTCCTGTGAATGTCACATTTTTTTTGACGTATCTATGTTTATCACGACTTCTCCAACTTTCTTGCTTTTACCCTCATGTAATTCATACTTAGATGCCTTTGAGGCAAAATAAATGAAATGAAATTAGATACATGTAACTATCGTAGGATTGTCTCATGTCACAAGTATGTGATTGTCACAAAGGAACCTGTAATAATCACATGTCAGAAACCTGTGGTCACAAGAAAACATGTAGCAATCATAGGATTCTCTCATATTTGAAGCGTGTTGTCCCAATGGAGCACGTGACAACCATAGGATTGTCCCATGTCACAAACACGGGTCACAAGTACATGTGACGATTAAGTACAAAAGCATGTGTGATAATCATAGTACTACTGTCACCTCACAAACATGATTCACATGATGGGCGGCAATCTAATGTGCTCTTGTGACCAGTTGGCGATCCCCAAAGGTATGAAAGCTTGCTAGCGAGGCATGTTACGACGTGGGTTCCTATCGTTTTGTCGAAACTTGTGTCGTGTGAATTGAATTTCCTAGATGACTTCTCATGGACGCATGTTTCATGGACACACATTTCGTCGACACTTAAGTTTCATCGACACTCATTACGCAGATTGCACGCTGTAGGGACATTTTGTCTCGCGTGTATCATTGGGGTGCGTGTTAACCCCATTCCCTCCCCCCCCCCCCATTCTGCGGCGGCTCTTTACAAAAATGTTAATCCACCTGACCCATCTGATGCTGCTTGTTACAAAAAGAAAAAAAAAAAAAGCTAATCTAAGCTGTTGACGAAACAATCTGCCAAATGAGACATTGTGTGTCAGTGAAAAGAATTGTTGATGAAACGTCGTTCAATGAACTGATTGCCACCGGTTTCGACATGTTTTTGATCAGTGCTCGTTCACTTTATGCGGCAGGAAGGTGACGTTGTTGTTTGTTGTCTGGCGGCCCTTGTGCAGGTGTGGTAGTGGAGCGCAATGGAATTGTGGTTCTCGAAAACGTACCCATCATCACTCCGAACTGCGACGTGGTCGTACCCAGCCTGACCTTCAAGGCAAGGCTTTTCCGTCTTTGTTTCGGGAACGAGTGTTGTGCAGCTTTGTGGTTCTTGGCAACCATGTTGCATTCATTGCACCCACTTATCGCTTATTCAGCAGCTAGGTTCATTCGAGTGCGTTTCATATTTTTATGGGTTGCTTTTAAAGAACAAATAAAAAGGCGTCCGGTTATTTGTCAGATGGGGAGCACAAACTTGGTTGAAAAACTTGATAAAATTACTGCGATGTTCAGATTGACTTCGATTTCACATTTTCACGGTGTTGCTCAGTATATTGTCATGACCATCAGTGTTTTTCTTTTCTCGTTCACTCGGTTTTCCTTTTTTCTGTCATGTCAGATACTGAAAAGGACTTTATTTTCACAGGCTTGATATTTCGCGAGTTTTTTTTTTCCTCGTGTGGGTTTCGGGAGCACAAAATTTTGCTACTGGGAGTGGTGTGCTATGCAATCGTTACCACAAGGTAATATATTCGAGTTACCTATTTTCACAAAATAGGTCACAGAATAGATCACAGAGAAATTCACAAAAATGGGGTTGTTTACGGTAAAAGCAGTTTGCGATACAGCTTTCGCTGCAGCGGTGAAGGCTGACTAGGCAGCCTTCACCATTGCACTAGCTCCTTTTCGATGCATTAATTGCCCATTTTCATGTGTTTCTTTTGTTAAATAATCGAGACATGTCGGTGCCCCGTGGAAAAGAACGCTTTTCTGCCTGCTGCTTTGTGCTGACCCAGTTCCTCGATTTGTCTGATGTACGCTTTGTGTTGATCCGTCTGTGACGCGCGGTGTGGGATTGTCTTGTGTGGCAGATGACGCAGGACATGCACCTGCTCATCACGGGTCCCAACGGCTGTGGGAAGAGCTCCCTGTTCCGCATCCTGAGCGGCCTCTGGCCCCTGTACTGCGGGCAGCTGCAGAGGCCCCCCAACAAGCAGATGTTCTACATCCCCCAGAGGTCAGTGACCCCTCCTCCCATGGCAGACTGTGCGCTGCATTAGCGGGCAGTGCTGTTAACAGGCAATCCTGGCACGCTTCGTTAACCGGTGGAATTGGTAGACCATACTTGGGGACGCGAAAGGAATTGACGGACAGTGTTACTGACTGGGATGTCAGCGGGCAGTACTGGCTGACTTTATTAATGGATGGAATCGGCGGACTATACTAGTGAATGCAGAAGAAATTGGCCGACAGTGTTAATGGTTAACGGGTAGCCCTAGCAGGTTTTATTAGCAAATAGAATTGAAGGACCGTACCATTAAAAGCTGAAGAGATTGGCAGGCCATGTTAGGTTTCTAGCAGTTAGAAGCATTGGACCATACTTGCAGCCATTGAAGAAATTGGCAGACCATATTTGGCAAACGGTGCTGGTATACTCTTCACTGGTAGTTTTAGCGGATGTCAGCTGATGGGACTGGCTCACCCTACCAACAGGTTGCAAAAGAAATTGTCAGTCCATGTTTAGCAGACAGTAAGTACCCAGCAGAGCGTATTAGTAGATGGAATCGAGGGACCATGTTTGTAAACAGTACTGACAAACTCTTAACAAACGCTCCTAATGGACAGTACTGACAGTAATGGTATAATAGCACGAGTCTTGAGGTGGCATCAGCCTGTCCTTGTGTGTCTGTCTGGCAGGCCCTTCCTGCCTTTGTGCACCCTAATGGCCGAATCACACGAAATACTAATCCGCGGACGGATTGATCACATGACATGTCCGTGGTTCGTCCGTCTCCCAAGTGCATTAACACGAGGGAAACAACGAGCAGATTTCAGCGAAAACGGACCGAACCGGTTCGCCACCTCACAGTGCCGCGAAACTCCAACATTGCACTGTGGCACCGTTGTCCAAGAGAGAAATCGACGTTTGCTGTTTCTTTCCTCCGGACTACCGCTGTTACACCGCTGTTACGTACAGATTGAGACAAAACACCATGATAGGCTTCACACAAAGTTCCACTAGCTTTACTAACCCAAGGCATGACAGTGAAACTGGCATGGTCCTGCTTGAGAAGGGTTCGGCGTAGAAGCGACGAAGTTCTGGGCTCGTGGAGGGGCATTTGGAGATGCCTTCACGCACTCCGGGCTCGTGCACAATACTTAAGTACACCACAGCCACAAGAAAGATCTTGTGCGGTGAAAGTCCGACTGGACGTGCAAGAATTATCGTGGCGTGCTAGACATTTTTTTACGGGAGCTTCTTGACACGAACCCGGAGGAGTCACGGAACCAGCGAATGCACAAAACACAATGATGCACCATTTTTGTTTTAATGTCTAAAAACAAAAAACCAAGAAAACTTTGTACCGTTTACCAGACTAAACCCTTTTCAACTCAATCTCCCGCCAAAAATCCGCGACTAAAAAGGTGCTCAACTTTATCAGTCCGTGTACCCGCGGATGAGGCGCGGATCACAGAAATCGGTGATGTGCCGGTCACGTGGTACACAGTCAGCGGACGAGAATCGCGATTCCGTCCGTCGTGTGAATCGGCTATAACGGACCAGGAGGCAGTCCTGGCAGACTAGTAGTAGATGGCATCGAGAGATCACATTAGTTGACAATTGTTCATGGACTGTACCGGCAGATGGTGTACCACTACAGATGAGCCTATCTTTTTGCCAGGCCCTACATGGCCCTGGGAACCCTGAGAGACCAGGTGATCTACCCGGACACTCTGGAAGACATGAGGAATCGGGGCTTCAACGACGAGGACCTCGAGGGCATCCTGAACATTGTCCACCTGCAGCACATCATCGTCAGAGAAGGAGGTGAGGCCCTGCTGGCCAGGTCGTCTTGGCGTTAAACAAAACACGGAAGAATTGCCTACAGGTTGCCCTCCGGCTTGGCAGTCGACAAGAGCTTCGGCAGCCAGAAGTTGAGATGCCGGGATGACGGCGATACTCGCATTTTCTCGCGCTACTTTCCAGGACATCTACATTCGACTGCCAGGATTGCAACGTCCGACAGTGCAACGCTCCGGCTTTTGTTACATCATCTTTTGCCATTTTGGGACTATTTTCGATGCATGGGCATCTCGCATAAACGCACTTGTTGTGGGTGCTGTGAACCGTTTGCAAGTTCTTCTAAGCTTCTGTAGGGAGCGGGATGTTACGAAATTTGCCAGAAAACGAGAGCGCAGGCTCTCGGGGTGCCCTCTTCAGACGGTCAACCTTCGCTTTCAGGCTGGGACGCTGTGGGTGACTGGAAGGACATCTTGTCCGGAGGAGAGAAACAGCGGATGGGCATGGCACGCCTCTTCTACCACAGGTAACGAATAGGAAAATTTGTCTCGCACCCGCCCCTTCGTGAACGCGTACAAAGATCGGCAGCTGCGTACGAGAAGCCAATGGACATCCATGCGGCGAGGTTTAAGCCTTCTTTTCTCGCGTCTTGGCAGTCTCGTTTAGCACAACGGCATGCCTGTCATTTCCGCATGCGGTCGAGGCACTTTCGAAGCATCGTGCCGACCTAAGGATAAGCTGGAGACAGAAATCCACGTCGCGGCGAAGTTGTCGGGTGTTGGCGTCGTGTTCACGCACCGTGGGGTCTCGACGGCATCGCCCGTGATGTCTGTACCTCGTTCTTTTTTCAGCTTACCTTAGAGAAAAACACCGGAATCGTGCATTGTAAAAAAGAAACAAATGTTGACAAGCGCTCGAGCGACTTCGACTTGTCCCGGCAAAACGAACGTGCCAAACCTTCCGTCGACTTTCTTTCTCCGCCCTTCCGTCGCTCTCTTTCTCGTCCTTTCTCTCATGACAGTCGAAGTCGGCGCCCCCAACATTTGCTACATTCTACTCCCATCTTTACCCCCCCCTTGTCCACTAATGAATTTTTTGCCGTGACGTGGCGGCAACTGTGGCCTTCTGGCGGCCGCCACGCGAGACCCGTAAGCACACGTGTGATGCTTCGATTGTCCTTTATAAAGCGTGTCGTTGAAACTGTAACGAAGCCCTGTGGCAACGCGCCCGCTTTACACGCAGCAGACGCAGGATCGAATTCTGAGAACACTTGGCAGCATCAACGACCACAACAGCGTCCTTTTTCAGTGGTGGGAAGGGCCTGTAACAGCCGTCGCCGTGAAATGATAGGATTTACGGGAACCTTTCTATCGTATTTCTACATTCAGTCAGAGGTTTCTACACCGAACAAAGTGTGAGATTAGTTTCTTTGGTCAGAATCTCGCCAGCGAGGGGTGCGCGGAGTGCCTCACTCGTGGTTATAGTATACTCCATTCACCCTAAAGCCGACAGCGCCAAGGGAAGTACGCACTGTCAGCGTAAGCGCAATCGTGTGGAGAACGATACGGTTCTACAACCGGTCCAAGGACCACGTAGCTTCCACAGCGCCGTCAACTTGGGGTGAACAGGGCATAGTCCCGATGAATTATGTGGACGGGGGAGGAGTCGCCCAAAAAATGCGTAGCGAATTGCCGGGCAACACGTGAAACGTGCGGCGTCCATGTGCTCGGAACTCTTAGTTGGTTAGTTCGGCAACTGGCCTAACGCATGGCATGTACGCTCAATGGCAATCCTTGGAATGGAGATACCGGCACTAATTCGGGTTTTAAAAATGTGCGTTGGGGCGTCTGGTTGCTATCTGCCGGACGCAGAGCGAATGTCTCGTAGGGTTTTCCCACCAAATGGCACCTCGACTCACGGCGATGTTTCGCAACATGCTGGAAAGAACCTCGCTTAATGATCTAAGTGGTCCGTGTTCGATTCCCGCTTAGCGCTAGCGCTTCTTTAGTGCAATGGCCTCTACCCCCCCCCTAACTCGAAACCAATCAGGGTCGAGTCGTGGTTATGCTTTTATCCGGGATTTTCTCTTGGGCTTAACAAAATGCCAAACGCCTAGCCAATGGAACGTCTTAGGAAACAGCGCGAAAACAGACGAGGACTTAGAAGAAACGCACGGGACGAGCGCTGTCCCGCGCATTTCTTCTAAGTCCTCGTCTGCTTTCGTGCTCTTTCCTACGACGAGTTCCCACCAACTCGCTCTACTACCCATTCTCCTGAAAGGAATGGTTTGTGTATACCACAAGAGCGAATGGCAGACGACCGACGGTCTCTCCCACTTTCCGCACGTGGACAGGCCGCAGTTTGCGCTGCTGGACGAGTGTACGAGCGCAGTCTCCATCGACGTCGAGAGCCAGATGTACCAGGCAGCCAAGGACTACGGCATCTCGCTCCTCACCATCACCCACAGGCCGTCTCTGTGGCAAGTCTCTTTGCATCTTCGTCGTTTCTAGAGATGGCTCCCGCCGTCGCGGCACTCTGCGCACATAAAATCATGGTTCGGCCAGAGTCGTTTCACTCGCGTGCGACTGCTTGTGACTAGAGGATGCGCTGTTGCCACGTGTCGGGTAGCACTGGAACGCTTCCAATCTGTGCGTACGATTTTTCGTTATTTGAGAGATCAAATACAGTAGACTTTTGTTAATTAGACCTCGACGGAACCTCGAAATATGGTTGAATTATCCGAAGGATCGAATTAAAAAAAGGACAGCAAAACGCTTAAAATTAAACTTCCTTTTATCGTCCACAGTACTCATGGATGGTCTGCTGCCGTCTGCGCTCAAAACGCGTTTCTAAAAGTATGCTCCGGAGAACAGCATAACTAAACGTCACTCCCTTAAAATCGCGCACTGCAAAAAAAAAAAAAAAAAAAAAAAAGGTTAGTTTTATGAGCCGACTTTGACGCTGGGCAGCCAGACCATCGGCGACAGAGAAAAATAACAACAACAAAAAAAAAAAAAAAAAGGAAAGAGAACTCGCGTTTTCTGGCGTGCAGAATGGACCGCACACGATGCTACAGAAAAGCACTTTACCAGCGTGCACTCTCTCCGTGCCCGACCTCGTGCTATGTTCTCCGCGCTACTCCACGCCAGATTGGTTGCGCTGGCTCGCATCATTCGCTACGGTCCATCTAAACGGCATAGAGCAGGCGCATATTTGCGCACGTCTGGCTTTGCAGCAAAGGGCCCATGTTTCGCCGTACATTGGTGGTTTTTCTGCCGTGGTGCCGTGCAATGTGAGCCCGCACGCTTTCGCTCGGGACGAGTTATCCGATGTGGAGTCTTCCCGATTTCAAACTATCAAACTTTTCTTCCCATAGGAATGTATGGGCGCTCGCCGGGACTTTTGAACACGATCGAATTAAACGAAAAGTCGAATTAACCGAGGTCGAACTAACGAAAGTTTACTGTACTGCTGCAAAGAAAATTATCGACGCTGTTCAAGATCTTTTTTGGTTAAAACTCCACAACTTTTTTCAACTTATTTTTCTATTTTTACGTGGATTAGCACCGCTTGCAGCGACAGAATTTCCTAGGGTGAAAACCGCCAAAGTTTTGCAGACCACTAACGCCCTAGTCATATGCAAGCACCCTTAACTGAACTTAAGTCATGTATACGTCAGGCAGTTATACGGGTATCTAAGGGTACCCATATAACTAGGGTATACGAAGTTTATCTAGGGACCGCGGTCTCGTGAGGCCATGGGGTTGTAGACCTAGCCTAGTTCCCACGGTGCGTTCCTCACGAAACCTATCGTCGGTGCAGGAAGTTCCACTCGCACCTGCTGCAGTTTGATGGGGAAGGCGGCTGGCGGCTGGAGCCACTGGATACCTCGACGCGACTCTCCCTCCGCGAGGAAAAGGAAAACCTGGAGGCGCAGCTGGCCGGAGTGCCCCAGATGGAGAACCGGCTGCGGGAGCTGTGCTCGGTGCTCGGCGAGGAGTCCCTCATTCTCGAGACGAGCTCGGTCGCCAAGCGGCCGCCTGCGGAGTTCGCCACTGAGAACCTCTCGGACTAGGGCCGCCGTCCCTTCCGGTACCACTCCCGGGGTCTGGGATTGCTTCGGAGTCGGGCCTCTTCTCGACGTAGTCCGGAAGAGGACGACAATTGTTGGAGATGCACGAACGCTCCTCGTTTCAACAAACGAGGCATCCGTGGTTTTCTCTCAGGAATCCGGCGCTTTCTGTTTTACGGGACACCCGGACATACGTGATGCCGTCACGAGTTGTAAACGCATACAACGAGAGCTTGGGCAAAGCTGTGCACTCGAGCGCGGTATGGACAGGCAGCTGTAGTTTTGTTTTGGGAATCTGGTGCGCATTTGTGCTCCCCGTCTTATGGGACGATGGGACATCCATGGAGCCGGAGCAACCTGAAAGTGCATATGGCGAGAGATTGAGTGTTGTTGAGCGGTGAAGCGCAGTATGTACATCTTGTATGTCGTAGGCCATGTCGAGGCCTGGCGCCGCGATTTCGGAACTACGCCGTACCTCTCGTCAAAGTTCTTGGGTCGACCTAGTTCGTCTGGCATTTTCGCGTCGAGCTGCGGTGTGGTGTAGAAACATGCCACGCCGCTCGTCTTCATCGCCCATGGGCTCTTTGGGCCACCGTAAAACTGGGCGTTAATGCGTCTTTATTTTTTTTTAGCAGATCTTGTTTGTTTTGGATCAGTTCCAAAACATGGCTATCTGATGCGGACGCCACGCATTGATTGCCGCGGTAGTGTTTGCTTTCCGCAAACCGTGGCACGCGTTTTTACCGACGGGTTCGTCGACGGCAACTTTTGCAGACAGGCGACGAAAGTGTAGGAGCGACGACGTCGACGACCGGTGTCCCCGTGACGGTTTCAGCTGTGCCGATGCCGCGAGTTTCGTTTCACGACGGCCCACACAGCGAACTAGCGTTTCGTTGCCAGGTCGGCATGCCCCAATTTGATTTGGCCGCCGCCGCTGTATACTCTGCTCTTTCGCTTTTCTCCTATCTATGGTAAACGCCACTTTTTCCGAACACGGTTTTCTTCCTTGTCGTTGTTTTGTTTTTCGTGCAACCTTCTCGTTTCTTTGTGAGGCAGCAACTTTCTGGGGTTCTTCCATCCGTGCAAACGACTCGATTCACGCTTCAGCAATTTTGCTGTACCTCAACATCGCTCCTCTCGTCTGCGCTCTGTGGAGTACTGAGGACTGGTGGCCTTAGCCACTTCCTTTTCTGTTCATCTTTGTTCTGTCTTGGCATTTGTTTTAGTGATGTTGTGTTTTCATGTGGCTACATAAAAGGTAAATGTTTTGTCTACGACCCTTCAAAAGTCGGCTGCGTAACGTGTACAGAGTGAATGATTTGAGCAGAGTCTAATTATTCAATGAGGGGATTGGTGCAATTGTGCGCTGTGCAGACCTGTTTCTACAAGTGCAGTTTTTGCGTTTTCTTCCTAATCTTTGCCAGCTTTCTTTTCTTGTGTGATGGTTTGGTCTGGTCTTTGAGTAGTTCTTTTGAATGGTTGGTATTAGGGTGCATTGGAAGTGTATCGAACGAGTTTGTATTGAGCGATCCCAATATGCACATTGAGAATGACATAGCGCTTCTCAATCTTATTGACATAGCTAACACATCACAATGTCATGCTTTTTTTGTGTACAGTGGCGACTTTGCCCGAGGTTGGGGTTTCCTAGAGGACGACATGAATGCATAGATATTTTGAGACTTCTCGGTGTTGGTGTCGTCGTTTAGAAAAAAAAAAGTGCCTCGGGTAAAGTCTCCATCCACGTTTCTTTCACGTTCACCAGCTCTCTAGCGCCTTTGTTTTTAAGATAAATCCAATACAAAAATTTTGCATGTGACAAATAATTTGGAACTAAACAGATCATAACGTTAATTAATCCAAGAATTTCAGAGTGCTAGACAAAATCCTTGGTGTGCAATTCATGGTTTGCACAAATTTTAGCAATCTGTATCAATACAATTCATGATCGGCATAAGTTTTAGCAACGTGTATCAAGTTTTTTAAAAAAAAATGTGGCTTTGATTTTTGTATAGAATGTAGTATACTTTTCGGTTTCAGTTTGTTAGGTTCCTCAAACTTCTGGATGAGCAATTTGTTTTAAATTTCGTATTTTTAAGGGCTCAAAAGTACTGCAGTGTGTAAAATCTATGAATCTAGTGAAAGCTTTTCGTATTTTTCCTTCCTCACGCGTACGCCTTACGAAAAACTTGCGCGCAGAGTTTAACACTTCCTCCGCTTATTTATTTGCCTCCAAATACAAGCGTGTACCGGTCCGTAAATTAAGCACGTAACGGTTATATCCCACACGCTTTATATTATACATAGCATTTTATCGTGTTACATATAGGTTTACTCGAGTCCCAACAAAACCAAAGGCGTCCACTTTTTAAAGATTTCCCACGTCGTAACCCCTCAAGGTTCGGGCCGGAGTCGACTGCAGGGCAGCGACCGTCCATTGCGCCACGAGCCGTTGTACATAGTTTTCTTGAAATTGAGTTTCGACGTCGGATGTCGTCGTCAACGAAAAGAAAAGACCCGATGCTTGTACATAACAGACGGGGTTAAGAAAGTTTACCGACATTTTGCAAACTAAAACCACCACCACTAAACACCCTGGGAGTGTCCGGTTCGTCTCTGGGATCGGTCCTTCGACACCAGTAACCTTGACCACCCGAGGAGTGACAACAACAAAGTGTGCAGATTTTCAAAGACCTTAGGGTGGGCAGGTGTCTTGAGCAAAAGCAGGCATTTGCTCCCGATTTTTTTTTTTTTGGGGTGGGAGGGGTTTTTGCAGACTCTTTTTCGGAGTGATGGCACAATTGAAATAAAGATTTGTAACCAAAGGAGGATTTGTGGTTTTGTCAACGAGAGGCGTCGTCGGCAATGCATAAAAGCGACGAAGGGCTTGCAGAGTTCTTCGGTTGATGAATCTGGGATCACAAACAGTGGTTGGACATGTAGCAAGATGGCCACACATCCGTTGATTCAGTGTCACAAGTATGTGGCCTAAATGTTTTTTGGCATATGCTCCAACATAATCTGTGGTACTTTTCAGAGAGCTTTGGTTGGGTTATGCAACAAAACTTCACATGCTTCACTCACACTAAATGGCTACTCCTGCGTTTTCATCATCATCCCCAATTTATCTGGAAATTTCCTAAACAGACATCGCTAAAATAATATCCCAAATATTCAGCGAAAACAATATTTTTTTTCGTGAAGCTATTGAATTTACAATTTTGGTCCTCGTTGTGTTTTTGAAACAGTTTCTACTGGCAACAACGGAAAAGTGACTCCAGCGGCAGGCAGGGGTTAACGTTTTGGACAAGGATTTGTTCCTAACCGACTACAAGCAGTTGCATGATGTCAAATAAATGCTTTGGAAGCCTGCTTCAGCACCTGCGCAGCATCATGAAACAAATGCTCGGCATAGTCCATTTTTTACACTGCCTGCCACCGACATCACGGCACTGAAAAGCGCACGTATATTTGAATGTCGGTTCCGGCATCATTTTCATTTGCCGATTTCACAACTATTCAGACTTGTGCAACACTAAATACTGTAAACGACTTAATTTTCGCGAATTGCCTACAATTTGCAAAAAATAGATCCCGCAAACAATTCCGGTAAAATGTAAATACATTGGAATCTATATTGAGATCCCACTGGGTCACGAAAATTAGAGCCCACGAATTATTCCAAAACTTCAGCCTTTACCTAAAACGTGAAATATTGAGCCTGCGAAAAACCAGTCGTTTACAGTATAGCATATTCGAAAAGGTAAAGGCTGGGGATTCAGAAAATATAGTTTGTTTTAAAAGCTGTATTATATGCACCAAGAATGTGGAGTGCTGCTAGTTTTGGGTGGAAATGTTCAAGTACAAAATACATACGATAAAAAGTTAGAACATATGGAACATGAGTAAGTGGAAAATGACGGCCGTTCGTTTCGCACTACATCCTCCACTGATCGTCGAGGGCGACAAAGGGAATTCGGTGAAGGAAGAAGGAAACGAGCTTACGCTAGTTGATTTGACATATTGAAATGGAAAAAAATTGCGGTGGCTTAGCTCGGCTATGCCAGGATATATGTAGCGTGAGCTTATGCGCACAAAATGAGGCGTTATCAAGCGGCTCTGGTGCAGCGTCAGTCTTGGCTACTGCGCAACGGAGGCGCACAGCTGGGCACACGGCGGCGTCAGTGCGTCTGCCGCGGCTACGACATCACTCGTCTGGAATGCACAGACCGGCGAGGCGGGCGCAGCGGCGGCTCCGGCGCGCCAGTTGTGCGCCGTGCGACGTCACTGTTCCTCGCGCATGCGCAGCACGGCTCATTATGCGAGCCACGCAACACTGCTCAACCTCGGCCAGTGTAGCTCACACTACAAAAACAGTGGAAAACATGGAAGACAAAAAGGAGTGCACACACAGTGCTGTGTACTTTTCTTCCCTTCCATCTTTTGCACTGTTTTTTCCACTTCAAGATTACACTTGCATGAATGATGGCACAGATGCCAGAACCTACATCAAATTCGCTGCTCTGCAATTTGCACAACCCAGATGAGATAAGTAGTTTTCCAGTGGGCACACTTTTTTATTTAGTGCAATGGAAGTTAGGCTAGCACAAGTGCCACGTGTGCTATGTTGTGCAGCGTGTTTCCAATATCTTGGGGGAGGGGCTTGTGACTCTGCGAGTCTGTCAAGATGGCAGTTGCTTCTAATCGTGTTTTGCAGCAACCCTATGCACAATGAGCTGCCAAGGTTCCAAAAAGTTTCCGTGTCCACGAAGCCTGTCATCTGTGCACCTCTCGTGGGCTTTTGCATTTGTCATTTTAACATGCTATCATAATATCGGGAGCATGTCACAAAGTGGTGTTGCTTAGTTCTTGGCAAATAAATTTAGAAAGAAAGTGGCATCACAAAGGGTTTGTTTGCCCATTCTTGACAACGCTCTGCCACGCATACAAACCAGTCTAGTTTGAATGGCATACTGAAATACGAGTCAGCCCGTGGGCAAAATGGGAGGAAATGCAATACGGCAATGTCTCATTAATAGGCACGCCTTCGTTCCCTCCAAAAAAAGCGTTGTAATGCAAATTGTATATAACAAGAAAAATATGCACATATTTACGCAATTCATTTTTGAAAATGCCTATTAGTCGGTATCCATATTATTGAGACAGGACTATGATTGCTTGCACAACAGAAACTCTTTAGGCATTGCTTCTTTGCACTGCACGACTGCAAGCAGGGAAAGAACCCTTTTAACCAGTCTTAACTCTGGCCTCTTTCCACACTCTTACGAGGTGGGCAGTAGGCAGCGCTATTTATGTCCTTGTTTATTGTGTGCTGCAGCTCCTGTTTGTAAGAATGACCCGACTCACCAACATCGCCCCTTCGATTCCACACCCTTGCCACACTGCGGCTAAAATCGACAAGCACGTACGCACCAGTTACTAAAAAACGCTTCAGCTGCACAAATGCAGTGCATTTTCGTGCAGCCTTATCGAAGCTACCTTGCATGTACCTGTAACCTTTGCCGTAGTCCACGCCAAGATAAAGTCCAGATGGGCCAAAGTTTTTTCGAGTTTAACACTTGCTGCAGGCAACCAATAGACCAATGCTGCCTGCCAGTCTAGCTATGCCGCCATGGACCGATGGATTAAGGTGCAGTAGCAACTCTCGTATGTCGTACAAAAGAGTGTTCGCTGCAGACGTGAATATAATTATCTGTAAACAATCGCCGCGGCCCTGCGCGTGCCTCCCGTGGACTGAAAATGTGGTGGTGTCACATGTGCGTCAAATGCTTGGCAAGATCTGTTTTTTTGGCAAGCCTCATTTTTGCCTTCGGCATTCACGGCTCCGAAAGTACCGACTGCTCGTGCCAAACCACGCCAGTCGACCAGCCGAAACGGGCTCTTTGGATTTCGGCGGAGAGGACCCTGAGGCGAGCGTAGTTGAAATAATGTATCGGTTTAATTGTAGCCTTCGCAAATATAATTGTGGAGATCAGTCAGAGTCCTCGAGGTCATCCGCATGAGTGTACTGGTGGCTCTCTTCCCAGTCATCCACTGTAAAAGAAAAAAAAAAACATTTGCAATCACATTTTGATTTATTGATGAAAACATTGTATGCAGAATTGCGTTTTATGAGGAACGCAGCACGCATCAACTCTACTCTCGGCCTTCTGAGCACGAGACGCTGCGTCAATGTCGCCACGTCCTTTCGTACTGTTTTTTATTTATTTTTGTTCTCGAAGGTTCTGCAGCTGGCAAACTATTCTCGAAGCATCTCAAAATCCTCTCTCCTGCCTTTTTTTTTTTTTTCCCATCACAGTTGTATTGCGTGCTTGGCGGAGCTTGCGGCAGAGGTGTTTGGGAGTAGGCCAATAGCCCAACACTCTTTGAACTTGGCATGCTTCGCTCGCTTTTCTTCGCGGCTAAATCGGTTAAATTCAGTAAGAATGCGATCCAGCATTGGCAAGTTGAAGCGGCACGACTGCTGGCAAGTCGACTGTGCAAGGGTGCTCTTTCCTCAAAGAGCGTACGAACCTCTCCTTTATGCAAATGGTCAACGGAGATGTGGATGCATTTCTTGCTCAAAAGCCCCAAGGAAGTTGTAGAACAGATGCATGCGTCACTACAAGCCGAATATTGCCCACTTTTTGTGTTAGCCCTGTAGGGTTGCTAGCCAGGTTGAACCTTCCATCCGTTTAATTAGTAGAATCCCGGAGAGCTTGGGATCACTCGGAAGTCTTATCGAAGTTGCTAGTGCTTCCCTCACAACCAAACAAAAAGAAAAAAAAAAAAAAATGTGCACTAGATTGTTTGCGGCATACTCACTTTGGCACTCCTGGGAACAGTAGTATGCAGGAGGAAACAGCCCCTTTCGCACGCACCTGGTCCAACGAGAAAGAGACAAACTGGTGAATCGGTGAAACCCAAGAAAGCGCTGTATGCGGCACCAGAAACTCAAGGCCACTGGAAACTTTGCTGCTATCCTTTAATTAAAGGTGCATCGTTAGCCGGACTCGCTAAAGTTGCTTGATGCATTGGTGCTCGTCTTACACGTGGTAGCGTCAACGTAGAGGGGCTTTGGGACGCACACGGCTGGTAGCGGGCCTAAAGCAAAGTCCTAAATGCGCTGTAGAAACTTGTGCATGCACTGGTAGCTTTTGAGAAAGTGGCAGCCAAGTCTGGCGAGTTACGTCGGTAGCTCAACTGCACCTATTAATCCAACTATATAGGAACTTGTTACCTCCGTATGCGAGCTAAATAACGGAGCCTTTGCTCAATCGACGTTCCGAGTTTTTTTTTATTTTAGCCACGCGGGCGCATATACCGGTACGTAGTATTACAATCTTCCTCCGACTTTTCGTTACAGTCGGATAGAATTGCAGCAAGCTTGCAATACCAGTGTGGGCATTTGGAGTATGTTTTTCTAATTCAAGATCGTGCAGGGTCCTGTGCGCCGTGTTGTGGATTGTTTGGGTTTTTGAAGCTGTTCAGTGTGTTGGAAGAAAAAAAATGAGACGTTTACAAATATCTGAAATGCAAAATTAGAGCGCAGCTCTTGAGAAACGGGGGGGGAGGGTACGGAAGGGAAATGTCTGAAATGCGAAATTAGAGCGCAGCTCTTGAGGAGGAGGAGGGGAGGGCATGCCTCTCCATACACTCCTCCTTAACCCGCTAAATTTAGTGGGAAAACTTCCCGGCTAAATTTAGCGGGTAAAGTTTCCCCGCTAGATTTAGCGGGAAAATTGACGTCAGGTGACCTCAACACCAATTCAATTTCCTGCTAAATTTAGGGGAATGGTTACGCTGACGGAGATGCCTCGAAACGCGGAAACGGGCGTCCAAGAGCTGCGCTCTAAAATAAATACAAATATTGTTTGTAATTGGAGCAGTGAAACAAAAATTACAACAAAGCGAGGACACAACGTCGAACCTTCCGATACATACCCTTTATAGGTAAATATCTTGAACTCTATGTTAAATACCGGAACTTTGTTTTTTGAGAAACGCGACCAAAAACGAAACTCCCCGCCGACATGCGGCGTCGCAGATTGCTCCCACAACACTCTGCAAACGAAGCGACAGACGGTGAAACTCACAGAGAGCACCGCTTGAGTTTGCAGCCCTCGCTCCTCTTGCAGTAAGCGCAGCACTTGGTCGTTCCGTTCGCCGCCGCCGCCGCCTTTGCCGCCACGGCCTTGGCAGGGCTAGTCTTGGCCGCCAGTCCGTTGGTCACGGTGCCGTTGACCGTGGCGCCCAGGTTAACCTGCTTCAGGCAGTCGACAGCCTTGGCCATCATGGCCTTGGACTCGGCAGTGTCCTCGATGGCCACCCTCGAGATGGGAGACGGCTTGGCACAGCTTCCGTCGAGCTCGGTCTGGGCGACGGGCGCCGGCGGGTTGGCGCTGCCGCCGGCAACGCTGGCGGAGCGCCCCTTCTTTTTCTTCTTCTTCTTCTTGGGGCTGGAAGAGGGCGGGACGTCGCGGAACTGGCGCGGCTTCAGCCCCTTCTCCTGCATGATGACCTTGAATTTTTCCTCGGCCAGCTTGAGCACGTCCAAGACCTGGAGGGATGGGAGTGAGGACTGGGATGCGGCGGGGTAGTTTCATGGATGGGCATAGCAGCCCGTCGGCCCAACAAATGAAAAGGGAAATGCAAAACACACGTGGACAGGGCCAAAGAAGGAAGCACTTACTGCGTCTATACACCCAATGTGTCTGTACTTTGTCCTGCCCGTGTACGTTTCACACTGTTTTCCTCGTCGTAATCTGCAACTAGCCCGTCGTGTCCACCCTTTACGCGGACACGGTACTGACAAACGTAGGATTTTATAGCCTAACTTAGTGGTCAGGCTCGAAACATTTCACATTTGTTAAAGGGCTGTCAAATAAAATGCAACAAAAACTGCACACACCAATACAAAAACAAAAAAAGTAAAAACAAATGTTTCTTTAAAAGTGTGAAAGTTCCAGTGCACAAGTATGTTTTCAGTAAGGACATCAACCGTGCAAACAGCACGGCTTTCCTCCTTGCCTCCTTACCTTTCTTGTTTTCACGACATTGAGAACCAACAACAACAACGGAGGCTTTGACAACAGCCAGCAGGGCGTGCTTGTGGCTGTCCAAACCCAGACCTGTACATTGGGAGAGCCTGGCCAGTAGGCATGGCGACGAAGGAGCTGAAGATGAGGAAGGTGAAGGAAAGGGGGGAGAGTGCCGAAGGAGCAATAGAGGAAGGAGGGACCAAAGAGGAAACGACCGCCCTTTTTGTTCTTTCGCCCAAATAAAAGTCTGCAGTAAAACGTCGAGAAAACTTCATTCATTAGCTTTTCAACCCGCAGTGATGTGATTGGCCTAAGCCATTTTGGAGCACCTTTCGGCGCAGCCAGAACAGTGTTTTGGAGCACTTTGGAGCAGCCAGAGCAGCGTTTTGGAGCAGCAAAAGTGGCTTTTGGAGCAGCCAAGACAATGTTTTGAAGCAGCAAAAGTTACTTTTGAGGCAAAATATTCTTAGAAAAAAAATATTCCTTTTAACGAAGGGCTCTTCGTGCTTTGTTGTGTTCTGATGCAACGGAACTCGCTGCTTGTATTTTTAGTGCTGAGACATCCTACAAATGTACAATGCTGTAGGCATTGCCAAACAATTCCCAAAAACCACTGGCCACCATTTTACTGGTTCCCGACGTGCCACATTTGCGGCCAAAGTAAGCAAACGTAAAACAATGGATTTGCAAGCATCTCGGCTGGTGCCTCTGTCGTGCAATCACGTTCGCATTCACTTGAGGGCGACTTCGGCAGGCTTGCACAGCAGTCTTTGAGGTAAAGAGGGATTTTTGTAGTAACGTATGATTTAAATAAGAACAGGAATGTTGATGAACATGCAGCCGTACTTAGTTTCGTTTTAGAAAGCGCCATATCTGCACCGACGTGGGGACGGCAACACCCGACGTCGCACGACCACGGTGGCTGGAAGGCAGGGACGATATATAGTTTTCCCATGGCCATTGTTTTCATGAGCGAGTTGGTTCAGCTCACAAAGTAACTTCCACCACACAAAAACGTGGTTTCATTTCACAGCATGACGGCATGGCAGGTACCCGGCACGGTAGCGTCGGAGCGTCTGCACACACTCGCGTCTTTCATTGAAAATATTTAAACAAAAGACCCGAGAAGAGACCCACGAGCAGAGGTCGGCATTTTAGGTCGCCCTCACTCACCCTCACCCTCACAGCCACACTCACCTAAGCCCCTCACTCACCCTCACCCTCACAGCTACACTCACCTTCAGCCCCTCACTCACCCTCACCCTCACAGTCACACTCACCTTCAGCCCTTCACTCACCCTCACTGAACCTCACGACCCTCATGCACTCACCGCCCTCACGGTCCTCACGCCCCTCACCGCCCTCACTCACTCATGGCCCTCACGCCACTCACCTCGCTCACGCCACTCACCGCCCTCACGGCCCTCACCCCCCTCACGGCCCTCACACACTCATAGCCCTCACGCCACTCACCGTACTCACGCCACTCACCGCCCTCACGCCACTCACCGCCCTCACGCCACTCACCGCCCTCACGGCCCTCACACACTCATAGCCCTCACGCCACTCACCGCCCTCACGGCCCTCACCGCCTTCACGCCACTCACCGCCCTCACGCGCCTCACCGCCCTTGCGGCCCTCACACCCCTCACTCCCCTCACGCACTGATGGCCCTCACGCCACTCAGGCCAGCTTCGGATGGGGCAAATTCGCCCAGAAACTTTACGTCGCAACACCAGCAACACGGGCCGCCCGCGATCACACGCAGCAACCAATTGCTGCAATTTGCCATCGTCATCATAAAATTTTATTTTTCTTGCGCTATTAAGACACAATTACGCGTTATGAACGTGTTTTTATGCATTTAAATCTCGTTAAGAATACTAATGCACCTTTCTGAAACAGTTTATTTCCAAAAAAAACGATCAATTTCAAACGAGAACCAAGTCTTTCGGTGTCATCATCACCGGCACGAGGTATCACGTGAAAATTTTGCGTCCCTGATTGGATGCGGCCGCTTCAAACGGGTTCGAATTGCTCCGAGTTGCTTGCTTATTTCGAGCCGGACCCGATCTCAGCAATTCGTGTCGATCTAGGGAAAACTAGAGAACAACCCGCCATTAAAGGGGCACTGACACATCAAAATCATATTTTTTTTTATTATCCGAAACGATTGAAAACGATGCCGGGCCATTACCCTCAAAATTTGAGATTTGGGAATTCAGTATTCGTGAAGTAAAAAAAACAATTTCCAAATGCCGAATTCGAAGTTCCCGCGCAATTGGCGCCGGTGCCTTGACGTCAAAAATTGAGGAGACCTGAGAGTCCACTTTCCTGTCACCACTCCCTGCTGTTGCCATGGCGACCCAAAGCGAGGAGGATAGGAGCGAGCGCCGGCTAGCGCCGGCGTTGCGGCGGACCGGTTTTGAGCGGTGTCGCCTGTTTTCCGTTGGAGGATACAAATCCAGGAGACGGCACCACAACGAACTCCCGATTTTTGGTATTTCAAAAAGAAGGGCCGTAGTGCGTTCGCAATTGCGTTAAAAAACATGTTTTAAGATTGCCGTAATTAAATGTTATAGAGATGTCGCCTACAAAGCTTCTAAATTTCCTGATTTTTGACGTCACCGATCAAAAGAAGCGAGGAGGCGAGAGGCGGGAAAATCAAACGCCAAAAATAAAAAGGCGCGCGCGCGCGCGAGAAAATTTTTTTTCGCGATGCGGTTTTTTTTGCGTGTTTATGACTGCAACTTGCATCGTTTTAGACAATTAAAATAAATACGACCTTTGGGGTGTCAGTGCCCCTTTAACACCAAAATTGCTGAGAAAGATGCTCGATCTGAAGGGTGCCTCACGCACTCACCGCACTCAAAGCCCTCACACACCTCATGCGCTCACCGCCCTCACGCCCCTCATGCCACTCACTGCCCTCACGCACTCACGGCGGCGAGATCATTAACCAGCCAAACTCTCCCAATATATGGCTTTGCCCAGATACACGTGATGAGCACGTTCCAGGTCTCTGTCCAAGAACACAAGCAAAAAGAAGCCTTCCCCGAGTGCAAACACAAAAGTGCCAAAGCGAACCGGATTTGGAGGAAAGCCTCCCATCTGTTTGAATAATGCGAAGTTTGAATTATTGGGAGTTTTCTTCCTAGTACCACATAGGACGGGACCTGCATGTTTGTTTAAATTATCCGCGAGTGTGGATTAAGAGAATTCGAATTAACGAGATTCCACTGTATAAGCAAATGCTGCGACTGCAGCAAACATGTCCTGTTTGGACGGCCTTTAACAAGTTTTCGGTTGTGACAAAGACAAAATACACTGACAGTCTCTGCACGTGTGCCAATTACGTTAAACCCAATCTTGGGACCAAACACCGCCAGTCAAACTTGTTGCCGAATGCTTAGACGATCCGCGTCACTGCCACGCGAGTTTTCGCTCCGTGCATTGCCAAAGTGCGGTGCGACAAAGCACTCGGCCAACCAAACTTTCCCCATGGCTAGACGACATTGTCCGCGCATCTTACGCAGCCGAGAGCCGCGAACCGAGAGAGCGACTAATGGGGGCGCACCTTTTTCTGCTGCCAGAACTCCTGACGAGCCTTCTCGTCCGACACTTCCCTTCTCATTTGGTCCGCAGCTACGAGAAAGAAAAAAAAGAAAAGACGGTTTAGAACTCCATCAAGGTTCTAAGCATATACACAGCATCTCGACAATGTTGTAGAAGAATGGATCCCACTAAGTAAAGCATCCAATACACGGAGCTGCCGAACGCCGGGGTTTTTTCCGGAAGCTCTAAAACTTTGGCACCTGTTCCGGATAGTATCCTACGCAACATTTTGGCAAAAATTGCGCAGCAATGCTTTTTTTTTTTTTTTTTGGAACGAGGCATGGAGACGTACAAGGATGACCGGGGCTGTAGCCAAGAGACCCTCCCACCTTTCTTGAGGTTCCTCTTCATCTGGCACATCTCGCAGGTGAGGTCATCGTGGAGGTCGTCGTCCGTCTCGGCCAGCTGGTCCGAGATGGCAAAGAGGAGGTTGTCGTGCTCGTCGTCGTAGTCCGAGTCAGGGTCAGAGTCCGAATAGTCTATGCCCTCCACGTCGTAGCAGGGCACGAGAGACGCCACCTCCCGGAATCCCGTGGCCCGGTCGGGCGCCTTCTCCATCACCGCACGCAGCTCCTCCAGATCGGGAGCCGACCAGAAGGCTAACTTGGACTGCGAGCCCAAGGACCGAAACTTCTCGTTTGCTCGATCGTGCCGACAAAGATCAGGGAGGCTCGGGACATAGACCACACACCCTTGTGCGTGGTTTGTGCAGGTTTTAAAGGGGCATTGACGGGGCATTTTTGCTCGCCGAGGTCTTTATTTGTATGTAACATACGAGAGCCCAGCTACCCAGGAAACAATTTGCGGCTCAAAATTTTTTTTTTTTACTGCCCGAAAACCACCGATCGGGAACTGGCCGGTTTGAGTTGCGCTCACCCTCTTCTCCGTGGTCACGTGCCGTTTTCTATGGTTTAGAGTTAGACACAACTACCACATATAATCGAAGTCGTGGGTCATTGAAGGCAGACACTCAATATTAAAGATAGAAAAGAAATATGCTACCCATTTTAGAGTGGAGCCCTTAGGCGGCCGTTTCCATGATGAGCGCGCGCGTTGCGTTATGGGACGTCTCAGTTTTCCCACTAAATTGAGCAGGGCAACTGAATTGGTGTTGAGGTCATGTGACGACAGTTTTATTGCTAAATTTAGCGGAGAAACTCAATGCGCAGTGTCGCATTATGGGACGTCGCAGACCTCGACACCAATTCAGTTTCCCTGCTAAATTTAGCGGGGAATTGAATTGGCGTTGAGGTCACGTGACAACCATTTTCTAGCTAAATTTAGGGGGAGGCTGTGGAGGAGGAGGAGCGAGAGGAGAGTACGCAAGAGGAGGGGAGGGTACGGAAGTGGGGAGGGTACAAAAGGAGGTGAGGATACGATGGAGGAGGGTATGAAGCAGGAAAAGGACATGGAAAAGGAGGAGGGTGCAGAACCAGCATGTGAGGAGGGTGATCTACATTTGTACACATATATTTCTTTCTCAAAATGTTTAGCGCGGTATATCGTAACATCAAAATACCTCAAAAGCTGCACTCTAATTTCGCATTACAGAGATTTGCAAACGTCTAATTTTTTGTGGCTTCTAGAAAGCTGCAAATACGTTGATTTGCAGCTCTCTCCTTGTCCATATTTCTTCCTCCCGAGTCCAGTTTCGGTTTCGAGCAGTTTTATGTTTTTTTTTACTTAATTAAAAATATATGTGATGCTGTAGCAAAATGTTGATTGGGTAGTCTTCTGACAACATATAAATCGCCTGGCAAAAAATACAAAATATTCGAGGGTATCTGTGTCTCTTTAAGGAGAATGGCTTTCTCGGGATCTTCGGGCCACTTGGAGGTACGTTTCTGGCCGTTTCCCCGCCGAATGTATAAAGAAAATGACGTCGCACGACTTGCTGTCACGTGACCTACACAGAAATTCGGTTTCCCCGCTAGATTTGGCGTGAAAACTGACGTCGCATGACCTCGACACTATTTCAGATTCCCCGATTCCCCGCTAAATTTAGCGGGGGAAATGATATCGCACGACTCCATGTCACGCGAACTACACGCAGAATCAGTTTCCCCGCTATTAAACTTTGGGGGGCAAATGACATCACGTCACCCATACACACGTCAGTTTCGACGCTAGGTTTAGCAGAAAAAATTATGTCGCACGATTTCAACGCCCCAAATTCAGTTTTCTCGCTAAATTTAGCGGGAAAAATTGACGTCCCATGGCTTTTTATCACGTGACCATAAGACCAGTTTAGTTTCTCCACTAAATTTAGCGGGAAAATTGACAAGTGACCGGCTGCGGCTCTTTCAATTGAGTTTGCAGATAATCGCTTAATTATGCAACGTGGTTGGTTCTGCCCCAATTTTTTTCATTGTGCACCCCAGATGTCAGTTAGGACGAAACCAAGCGAACGAGCGCTCTTCACGGGTGCTACCTTATTCGCGGCAAGAAGTTTCGGTGTCGCCATCTGGCGAAAACCCGATAGCGACACCGATGCCGCTTTTTGGAGCTGAATGAGCTTTCGTTCAGCCTCACTGTCTCGCTAGTAACTTTTAATTTCATTTTTGTTTAGGACATGTTCTTGCATTTGTCGCGGACGATTACAAATTTTGCGTCTGGCAGTTGTTCATCCCAGGTCTCAATGCTCCTAACTGGAGGGTTCTTACTTTTTTGTTCTGGGCAAAGCACGGTGAAGACACTCATTTTTAGCTCACCAACATTCTTAACTTACATCTTTTTTTCACACTTTAGTCGAGTTTCAGAAAACTTCCTTGTACCACTTCCTTGGAAAAAAAAATCAATGGCACGATTGCCATCCTGATTTCCTCCCTTGAGATAAAGTCACTAGTTCTCTATCCCGATTGTTGCATCTTTAAAAAATCAAGAGCAGTGCTGCGCCCGTTTGACTCTATGCGCATCCTTGACTTTACCAAGCTTAATAATATCAAGAGCAGCACCATGTTTATTATTTTGGTAATCACAGTCAAGAAGTGAATACTCCCAGCATATAAAGTGTGGATGTCTATGGGTCTTTATACAGAGTTAATGCAAAAAGAAGTGTTGAACTCTGAAGAGGCGCACAATGTAAAAGCCTAAATAAAAAAAACCAATATAAACCAAGTTATTATACACAAAAACAAATAGAAAAAAAAAAAAAGAACTAGGCAAGCTTTTAGTGGAAATCGCTTTGTCAAATTATCTATATCGACCAGTAATTTTGTTAACATCATGCATTTAAAATAGCAAATAATTTGGTCGAAAGCTATCGCCTCAGTCGCAGCCATTGAGACATTGCACAGATGTAGATGTTATGTGATAACTGTCATGACAATGTAACTTTAAAAAGTGGAGATACGGGATTTGTTTTTATCTGAAGTGCGAGTGAAGAAAGCACTTTAAACGAGAGAGCGTTAAGGAGCTTGTGTCGCACAAAAGCCAACATCAGCGTCAGTGGCATTGTGAAAGGAAACTCCCGATTGGTCGATAGGGTCATGACGCCACAGCCAAATGACCTCGCTCGGGGATTTCGAACCCACGACGCTCACGTGAAACTAGACCTCTATGAGGTGACCCTGGATAGAACCACATTTCACTACAGACAAGGTTTTGCAGCACTGCCAAGATCAAATGTATGACATGCTATCTACAACAAACGTTCATTTATAACGCAGCAAAAAGATTTTCGAGCAAAAACAAAAAATATTTAAGGATGCGCAAGAAAAAAAACACAAAAAGGAGTATACAGAAATCTTGAGTGTTCCACTCTCGTCGTAAAAGATTGCAAGGGGTTTTAACGCATTCGGTCGTAAAAAGTCGCGAATGCGCGAACGCTCGTGTGCGGACAACCCGAAACGCGGCTCGGCAGACGACGCACGCCCTTCGTGGACTCGCGCGTGGCATACCTCCAGGTGCTTGTAGAGGGGGTCCTCAGGGCACCACTCGGTGGGGCAGTGCCAATACGGGTCCCTCAGGTACAGAGTGTAGAAGTTGAGCAGGGTGCAATCCGGCTCGTTCACCCAGCAGCGCAGCACGGACACCACCGCGCTCGCAAAGCGGCTGAACACGTTCACCGTCAGGAAGGCCTGCAGACGAAAAAGCGGAGCACTTTGGACCCTTTCCGCGCTTGCAGGTGAACGCGTGAAAAATTTTGTTAACCCTTTAGCGGTCAAGTTTTAAAGGAGATTGCACTAAAAATAAATCTATGCCCAGCATTTTTTGTTTCTCTTGCTATCTAACGGGAGTACATACAGTGCTTGCTAGCTGTTCAGATTGAGAAATCATTGAATGGAAATATTGAAGGCAAAAAGTTGCTGCCTTTCTCCCATTGTCTAATTTTTACGAACCAACTTCAAATCAACGTTCTGGCCGCCTCGGACTCTGAACCAGAGGTACTTTGCAGAGCTCTTGCATTGGGGGACGAGTTCTTTGGCTCAAAATTCAATTCTCAGAGCGTTTGGGATCGCTTGCACAGAGTGTCAAATTTCAGCAAAGCGAAATACGACGCGAACAAAACAAATATAGCTCCCCATAGACATAACAGACAGCAACACCTCCTGGGGTGCAAGCAGCTTTGCCTATTGGCAGGAACTTTCCAACGTATAATCGCCGCAGCGCATGGGCGATAGCGACCATTCGGGATGCTTTCGTGCTGGCGTACATGTGTGGCGGTGACCGCCAAAGGGATATAGTGACATGCTATCTACGACAAACGACCATAGAAGAGAACGAAGACGAGTGTGTTAGTTCACCACCAGTCTCCCTATCCAAAAGAGAAAAAGAGAAGAATCGAAGAGGAAGCATAAGCTAGTCGATAAGACTATCATGAAATGCAGAATGCAGAAACAAATTATGAAGAAAAAAAGAACAAATAAAGCTAGTCGAAGAGAAAGAAGACTCATTAAACAGTTGGTAGTCCAGTGGTTGAATGCACATTTTATTTTTTCCTCTCATTTGTATGGATGGTTGATATTTGTATGTTCAGCTGGTTTCGCCCAAGTATGTATCACCAACTAGCTCAACTTTTCTTCGTCGTAGGATACAGTGCAATCCACTCATAACGACATTGAGAAAACCTGAAAACACAATCGTTATAACCGATTCTCACTGTATCTGGACTAGAAACTGGTCGTTTTTAGTCTAAAAACTCTACAAACTGATCGTTATAAGCAGCCTATCGTTTATGTGGTATCGTTATAATTGCACTGTAAAGGTTAGTTCGGGCAGCATTCTGAATTGCCAAACCACCGTATTTATTCGAAAAAAGGTCGACCTCCTCAGAAGCATGACCCGTGCACATATTTCTCTGCAACGCTCGAGAAGATTTAATCATTGCGATTTACAAAAGACACCCAGCGAACGACACGGAACCGATAACGTCGGAACAAATAGCAAACTTCCACGTGGATTGCAGTTTTAAAAAATGACAAATGTCATTTCGGCTTTGCCATTCGTCGGCTCCTTTCGCAAGTCTTAATGATCAGTCCTCGTGGGTTCTACAGAAAAGTAGACACGTGGGTCTATTTGTAGAAAAAAACTAGACTCGTCTTCGAACAAAAACGGTTAACACATTTCCGAAATAACCGGGCATCACGTGTCAAACCGCGTCACGCAGTTTGCAGCGGGTACCCCGGTGTTTGTCATTAATTTTTGATAAAGTTTCACTAAGGCAAGGGTTCTCAAACTTTTTGGTCCCACGAAACCCCAGGAAGCCTGAAATATTGCTGTGGACCCCCCCATTTGCCGGCGGAGAAGCGACATAAGTACAATCGCAGGCAATTTTGCTTGTGTTGCTTCTCATATATTTCCACCTTATCAATTGCGATGTCGGAACAAAATGAGATCAAGGCGCTTTGCAGGGTCCTGCTGCACAGCCCACAGCGTGGGTGGGGGAGGGAGGGGGGGGGTGCAATTTGGGCGTTCGCAGAACCCATGAGACCAGCTCGCGGAACCCGTGTTCCCCGGAACCCAGTTTGAGAACCCCTGCACTAAGGCATCACCAAAGATAGCTTGCCCCATGTTTTTCACCATTTATATCTTTATTTTGGGTGGGCGTTCTTTGGGAACTTTACGCTAGTTTTAACTCGTACACTCACGTGGAACTGGATTTTGTGGACGGAGTCCGGTTTCCCAAACACGGCACGGAAGGCATTCTTGGTCGACTGATTGTAGAATGGATCGTTTGCTGGAACAAGGTTGAAGGTACTGGTCTAAATCCGTCCATCAATCTATTCAAGTAATTGTGTTTAAAATGGCTAGGACACGAAAACTATATAGGTAGATTATTCTTGAAATAGAACGCTTATGGGTACTTGTTATACACACCAAGTTTTGCGATTTGTAGAGCTCTAGTAATCGCAATAATTAATTTGCGAATGATCATTTTCGTCTGGCAACCAGGCAACACTGGCCACGTTAGTTGTAACACATGGGGCATCCACTACAGTGGAATCACTGGGAGCACGGTAGGTGATAGGATTGGACGTCACATCGTACATTTTTTGGCGGGTCCCGGAGCCCTGAGGGTGCCGGTGTGAATGAGGGCCAAAATGTAGATACACAGTGGAGGGTTTCGGAGGGTCTGAGGAAGCCTCGCAGGACTAAGAAAAAGAAACAGCTTAACATAGGGTTCAAAAACATGCAGGGGGGCAGGAACAGAATAAAGTGGGAGGAGATTCAGGAGCAATTAGAGAGCGAAAACTTTGCAGTGTATGGATTAGCAGAAACACATCTGAGGGATATGGAAGAACCACCATACATACCAGGATATCATTGGATGGGATGCAACCGGGCCAATGAGGACCGCAAGGGAGGGGGATTAGGGGTGTTAGTTAAGGGTCAGGAATGGGAAAGGGAACAAGAGGACTGCAGGGAACACATGTGGGTCAAAGGCAATATTGGGGGTCCGGACACAATCTTGGGTTTTGTTTATCTAAAAACAGGGAGTGATGCAGCGGAGGAAAATGCAGAACGCTTGACATGTATATCAGGAGACGTTAGGGAAATCGGCACTAACAAGGAAATAATTATCTTGGGGGACATGAATGCACATTTGGAAGACTTTGATGGACATACAGATACAACGGGGAGGTTGTTGGAGGAGTTTTGCGAAGCTCTAGATCTAGTATTGGTTAATGCTCAGGTAAAATGTGATGGAAAAATAACATGGGAAAGAAAGAACTCTCACTCGACTATTGACTACTGTTTAATGTCGCGTAAGATATACAACAGATTAGGAGGCATGGAAATAGATGAGGAAGGCACAAAAAGTCTGGGGAGCGACCATAAGAGAATCAAGATCAGATTCGGCACAGTAAAATTAGAAACGCAAAATCAAAAACAAGAAGGAAGGAATAACTTAAATGATAAACAACTACAGGAGGTATCTAAGCAAATCGAGAACATAGTATCCAAGCAACCGGTAAGAGAATGGACATATGAAGACTTAATTAGTGTTTTCAATAGAGAGTTAGAGAAATATCGAATCAAACAAGGAGGTAGAAAACTAAAACGTAAGCTGAAAAGCTGGTGGGATAAAGAGGTTAAGGCAGCAATATCGAGACGCCAGGCGGCATCTAAAGAACACAGATGGGCAAAGAAAAAGGGGGCCACACTAGACGAAGTAGCATCAAAATGGGAGGAATTTCAGGAAAGAAAGCGGGAGGCATCAGCATTAATACAGGCCAAAATTGGGAGGGCAGGGGTCCAGTGGATGATGGAGATAAACCAGAAGGATAGGAATGCGGCAAAAAGGTTCTGGGAACACATCAGTGCGCAGGGAAAAACGACCGAGGGGTACCAGCAGACACTAACCACACAGGAAGGGACAAAGGTAGAGGGGGAAGAGGCAAGAGAATACATTAGACATACAATCGAAGCAGCATTTTCAGAGTTAGAATCAGATCAGGCAGTAGGGAATAATAGCGTCTACACAACACAAGAGGAGGATCATAGCGAAGAAGAGGAAATGACCACTGGGGAGTGGGAAAAAGCAGAAGGAAGGGTCCCGGCTGGAACTGCGACAGGTCCAGACGGCATACCAATGAGATGGATAAAAGTGCTAGGCAAAACAAGCAAATTGAAACTAAGGCAGGTGATTGACCAGATACTTATGGGAGGGGAGGTACCCAGTGACTGGAAATTGAGCAGGATGAGATTATTATATAAGGGCAGGGGAGACAAAGACAGTATCAAATCATACCGACCAATCACAGTAACTTCAGTAATATACAGGCTAGCTATGCAAATTGTAAGAAGAAGAATGGAAGAATGGGCAGAGAGAAAGCAGATCCTAGGGGAGCTTCAAAACGGTTTCAGGAAAGATAGACGACTAGATGATAATTTATTCGTAATCACTCAGTGCATAGAGATAGCAGTGACAAGTCAAAGGCCATTATGGGTAGCATTTTTAGACATCAAAGGGGCATATGACAATGTGAATCAGGAAAAACTCTGGAACCAACTGAAGGGATATGGGCTAGGGGGAACCATGGTTAAGTTTCTAGAACGGGTTTATACGGAGAATAGGGTGGTTATAACATGGGAAGCCGAAACTACAAGACCAGCAGCAATAAAAAGAGGTCTTAGACAGGGTTGCCCATTGTCTCCCTTGCTCTTTATGATATACCTCAGTGAAATGGAAAAAAGTTTAGAACGGTGCAACCTAGGTTTTGACCTGACTTACATGGAGGAAGGACATGAAGTAAATCAAGTATTGCCAGGGTTAATGTATGCAGACGACATTGTACTCATATCAGAAAGTCGTGAGACAATACAGGAACTGATTAAAATTTGCAGCAGGGAAGGGGACAATATAGGACTAAAATTTTGTAGGGACAAGTCTGGTATAATAGTTTTCAACGACGAGAAGGGGGAGCCCCTGGAGATACAGGACACATTAATAGAACACGTAGAAAAGTACAAATATCTGGGAGTATGGTTAAGTGAAGAAAGACGGTATCTAAAAGACCATGAAGATATTGTAATAAAGGGGAAACGAGATTCGGCTATCATGAAACACAGGGCACTATGGAACTATAATAGATATGAAGTTGTTAGGGGTGTATGGAAGGGAGTCATGGTGCCAGGACTGTCATTTGGGAATGCGGTATTGTGTACGAGGTCAGAAATTCAGGCAGGTTTAGAGATACAGCAAAGGAGTGTGGGTAGGTTGGCATTGGGGGCACATGGGAATACACCAAATGAGGGAGTACAGGGGGATATGGGTTGGGCATCTTTCGAGAGTAGAGAAGCGATCAGTAAAGTAAAATGTGAACAAAGACTAGCTGAAATTGAGGATACACGGTGGGCAGCGAAAGTGTACAAGTATCTATATATGAAAAGTCTTAACACTAGGTGGACAAACCGAACCCGCAAGCTGAGATTTAAATACATTCAACGAGATGGAGCCGATCAGAGCATAACAGTGGAAAAGGGAGTAAAGGAAACAGAGAGGAAATTGTGGGAAGAGAGAATGCAGGGGAAATCAGCTTTAGCAATATACAGGGCACAAAAAAAAGAAATAAAGAAGGAACAGCTGTATGATAATTCAGTGGGGAGCTCTTTGCTTTTTGAGGCTAGAACGGGGGTGCTGCGAACGAAAACGTATAGGGCTAAATTTCAGGAAGTAGACACTCTGTGTGACGTATGCAACCGCGAAAGGGAAACTATAGAACATCTAATTTTAAGGTGCACGGGGCTTCGTCCCACCCTCTTGGGGGGGATGACTACGGATTTGGAGGGGGCGCTGGGTTTTCCGGACATGAATGGACGAATTGATAGGGAAAGAATTGCGATTACTAAGAGGAGATTGGAAGATTGGTGGAAGAGATCTAGGGAAGGATAAAAAAAAAACAAAAAACATATAAAAATAGGCAATAAATTCAATTTAAAAAAGAGGGGGAACTGTTATAACAAAATACATACAAAAAAAAAATAGTAGAAGGGATGACGAAATGTTAGGCTAGGTGGCGCAAGCTGCCGCCCGATACAAAGGGTATAGCCATTACCATCCATCCATCCAACACGGTGCCCATAAACCACGAGATCATTGTATTCAGTTGAACGCTCTCTCTTTCCAGGTACACCCATGCTCGCCTTGCCAAGGTACGGTCGCACCCTGTCAAGCTACTCGGCTACTCCGCTGCTCTCGCTCTCGCCCCTTTACTTTTTGACCTCTCGCCACGGCATGCACATGCGAGATCTTCGCGGATGACGGCGAGTTTTTCCGTTATGTTCTTGATGCCGTTCCTGGTCGTCAGTGGGTCAAAGTCAAACTGACCAGCTTCCAAAATCTCTCAATAACGACCACTCTCATTGCTGCTGCGATTGCTGTGATCAGTGTCGAAGACTGTGATGAAGCGAGCGATCTCGTAGATGTCAGTCTTGAAACCACGTGCTTGAAACGCGGAAGGTAAACCAAGGAAGCTGAGGCGCGAGAGAGCCAAGTATGCAAGAGCGTGTAAGTGGACGCCGCGCGTTGGACAAATGACGTTGCCGACCCAATAACCATAGCGGCCTTTTCGAATGGGGCGTATTCGAGGTAAGTCGATTTATCCACGAACCTATTGTGTCGGTTTTTAAACAATTTCAGCAAAAATATAGGAACATACAGTGGGTCCTAGCAATATAGTTCTCTCCTATTTCATTTTCGGCGTGTCCTAGCCTGCCTTTAAAGGGGCATGTCGGCTGAGCATGCTGCTGTTGGTTTTTTCGACAGACCGGCATTCTTAGGTGAAGTTTCTAAAAAAAAAAATATGTTGTCAACAAAACTAGAATATTAGAAACGAGGAAATATGTTTGTTCCATTCCTTTCAAATGGTATGTGGTGGATTAAATTGGAAGTAGAAACAAGAGCTGTACTCACAAATAGGTCGTGTCCCAATGTGGGCCATAAAGTCTCTATTGGCCATGACGAACATGATTGACAACATCAACTCCTTGGCGAGTCCGTATCCCTCTGAGGGGGAGGGGGAGGGGAGGGGGGGGGGGGGGCAGGCGAACGGTCACAACGATGGTTAGACAATGCAATAAAGGAAAAAAGATAGTATATAAGCTTTGCAATTATTTATCTTTTCAGAACTTGCAAGAGCATGAGACTTCACAATGTAAATCAAGTGTGCAGCGAGGCTGGATAAGCTTATAAGTGCAGCAGAACCAAAAATCTCGGGCTTATGAAATGCAAGCTTTCGCTCCATGCGGTCAGAGCTGCAGTGCGTTAACTCGGCCACTGATCGTGGCTCGCAACAGCATCAAACTCTGAAATGTGACTCATACGTGCAACGAGATTAGATGAGCTTGGAACCAACTTTGCTCATACAAAACTTTTTATAGAGTAGCTTGCAAATGCACGAAACCCGAGGTACCACATCACTATCATTTGCAATCAATATGCAATCATAAATTTGTTTAAAAACTTACCAAATACAAACTTGTCACAAATATCCATGAAAGTGTTGTCTACCACGGCTTTCACTAGATCTTGACTCGTGGGAAATCTTTGCTGGAACGGAAACGAACAGAGGGTAGCGATCAAGTGCTTGCTTCGCGATATTCGAATTACGCGCTCAATTGGTATATCGGGAAGAAGACCTTACCAAAAATTCATACGTATATATGTGAGAATTGATGTACTCTCTCAGCGATATCACCAGCCGAATCCAGTAGCACTTGGTCTACGAAAGAAACGAAACCATAGTCAAACTTCTTGTGCGACAACAAGTGGTTGCCGCCATGTAGACCTACCTGTTCACGCCACATGCACTTGAACGTGTCCCAGTGGGTGCTCAAAAATTCGGCGTCCTCCGGGCACACTTCGCGACTAAAGACGCCGTTGGCTGACGAATCAAACTTAATCCACCGCATCTAAAAAAGAAAGGGTTGACGTAGACTGTTCCATAAAACTTTGACAACCGTAAACAAAAAAACAAAAACGAAAGACAACCCAAACAGTTCTTAATTATTCCTTTCCAGCTATGACAAGAGTTCGACCGCCCAAAAATATAGATATGGAGAGAATTGAGAGGTTACAATGATGCAAGCAAAAAGAAAAAGTAAGAAATATTTATGTTGGGCACTTTGTAATCCTGGGTGCCATCCCGCCAACAAACGAGGGCGACGACAAGAAGCGCGAACGTGGTGTCAGTATGTTTGTTACCTTTGCGTTTCGGCGACGCTGTCGCAGCCGTAGGCAAATGTTTCTCAATATTTATCCAAAGATTATCTCTCTACATTGGGACCGAATTACTCGAATATAAAAGAAACTTTCAGGAAACTCGAATTTGCGGAAACGAACGCAATCACTTTGCGAAGTTGGTTTAGAATTCGAACGTGCCCAGCCCAGTGTTGCTAACAGCTGAGATTTCCTCGAGTAAAGGCAGTAAAGGCTGAATCATTATATCCTAATGCTAAAAAAACACATAACATAAATTAAAAAAACCGTGGTGATTAAATTAAAATCAAAATTAAAATAGCTTAAAATCAAAACAATGTAGAAAATAAATGAATGACGGATGATTACGCCCCTCACCCTCCTAAGCCAATTTTCTTCCTTTGGTTCAGCTTTTTAGCACTTAATATTCTATTTTATCTTGATAGATACGGTTAATTGATCTTTAATATATTCTCGCAAATTTGCCGCTTTCTGCAATTTTTGTGGCAACGCTGGGTACGCTATATTAATGAATATAGTTAATAAAATTGACAACTTGAAGTTAGGCGGCTACTTGCGCCACTTATCCAATGTTTCCGTGATAACGAGCGACGCTAGCGGCGGTCACGTGATCTTTTGTCACACAAGTCGTCAACATGGCGTCTCCCGATGGGTGCGTGGAACCCCGTGGGTGTTGCATAAATGCTCGTCTCGTGAGCGGCCCTTGGTTACTTCTGCTCTGAGACGACATGGCATCGCCGCGTGCTTCCAGCGCCATGGAAGCCGTCACCGAAGTGGACGTCTACAATCTGCTGGAGCTCGCGTGCAAGTCTGTGTACCGTGCCAAAGACGGGGACTCGCAGCAGGTGAGCTTGCGCCAGTACGCGCTTTAGGTCTTATCGGCCTGGTCTCCGACTCGTGATTATTTTCCCACCTCTGTACTGACCCAGTAAGTTTCGGCTTATCTCGGAACGAACGCCTTCTATTCTCTAAGAACAGATTGTAACGTTGTCGGGCAGTTCATGGACGCACCGAATACGCTGTGCTAAATACACGTTCCAGATTTTCGTTGTTTTCCTTTTTATTTTATCAGCTTGTTTTATTTACTTTTGCTCGGGGCCAGTGGTCAAACTTGGCCTGTTCCGTGGAATGTGCTCCTGCCGCCGCCGCTGTTTCTAATGCGGCAGCTCGGAGACGCTCTGTAATACTTGGATAATGACAATAATAATGATGGCAATAACTTACGGCTTCGCTCACGAGCATTGATAATAAAGATTGGATGTGCCGGTTTGTTGTTTGTCTTCTGCAAGTCATGCTTCAAACGCCCCCTTTTTTTGGGGGGGGGTCCCCGACAGGCGCGTGTTTTGCGTTTTCGCTGCGTGCAGCGGCTGTGTAGCAGGACCGCGCACAGATTTGCGTTTGACTGTGCTACGACTGCGGATAACCAGGACATCCGTGCCTCGTATGGAGCGTGCTAAGTAACTCCTAGAATCGGTTGCCACGCTTCGTACGAAGCCTCAGTGACTCGGAGCCGTTTCTCGACGCAACGCAGCTTAAAAGAGCACTGACCGCATTCGTGTGTTTCTGCTAAAGAGAGTGAGTGTATTGCATGCGACCAGCGTTATTCACCCACAGCTGTTGTTGTGGGCTTTGAACTGACTCTTGATGTTTCGTGTCTTTCTTTCTGCAGTATGCGTCGATTCAAAAGAAATGCGAGGACCTTTTTGCCAAGGACTACCTGTTCAGTGTAAGTTTTAGGAAATTTTCGGGCAATTTTTTACTCCATGATGCCTCTTGAAAACTTTTTTTTCCTGGAGTATGAGCTTAGTAAGGTGGCCGATAATCCATGACTTGCATTAATGTCACGTCAGCCGCCGTTGCTCCGTGCCATGTTCTTTTGCCCATACCTTTTCCAACATGCATTTGGCATCATCAAACCCGTTTTTCTTCACAAGGTTTGCCAAGAAAAACAAAGTCGGTTTTGCCATTTGGCGTTGCATGCGAGGCATGTATATGCCAAAAGCGCTGGGGGATTTTCTGTTATAAATCGGGAGCCTATTTAGATTTTGCACGCTTGTATTCTGGTCTAAACTGGACTTGCCAAATCAGTCCTGTTTGTGTTCTGTCGCATCACGTTTTCGAGCAGTGCAATCTCGGCCGATTTCAGTTGGAGCATTAATTTCTCTCGCCTTTCTGCAGTTAAGATTTCAAACTGGGTCTACCTGTGCCTATGCTTTACTTGGCTTTGTCTCGGGTTTTGTCCTAAGGTTACGGCACTTCGATATTGATCAAACTTTATTGTTACCTTCTCTATGTCGAGTGCGTCATTTTTGGGCTGGGCTGTACACATTTTCTAAAGCACCGCACTGTCTAGCCAACTATGCTTTTTGCTATACGACGATTCGTGTGTTAGAATGAAGCAGAGATCAAAGTTGCATCGCTGGCAAGAAGTCGGGTTGATGAAAGGATAGCCATTTCTTCCCAAGCTCTCGATGCCACGTCGTAGCGCAACTGCAGAATGAACACGGAGAGCAACCCGAGCTCGTCGCCCGCGTAGTCGTCTAACGAGCCATTTCCTCGACTGCTTGTGTAGCATAGGTTCAGAATAGTCCTCCGCAGTGTCGTCGGGTTTGTCGACACCTCTGATGGCGCTCTTGCACGCCCCGTCTGTTCCAGGTCATCAGCAACGAGCAGGGCACCCTTAACGGCGCATACCCAGCCAACATAGTCTTCCTGGAACAACCCCTGAGCGGCCACAACGCAGACCCTGTCATCAGGTGGGTGTGTTCAGTGTTGCCATCATGCGCTGCTTCCTGCTCGATTCGCTGCCAGTTTGTGGAACTTTGAATTCCACAATCGGTTGGAGATGAAAGTAGGGTACAACGAATGGTGGTTTGTCGATGCTGGTATGATGCGTAGATTGAGTGTCCAAACAGTGTTTATCATCGTATACTGCTTGTGCTTTGAAAGTGATCCCGAAGTGACAACAAACTACATGTGTTTGGAGCCGGCGCGCCGTACCATTTGACGTCTCAATCTTGGCAATCGGATAAGTTTTGGCAGAAATTAGGAAGAAACTCCAACTCGTAGCTGTTTTAGTTGTTGTGGACTCGAGGGCCGAAGAGCATTTCTAAAGTGGGGCAGGCATCTGCCATAGCCACCTCTGCTCCTGTGCCACTAACCAGGGTTGTGGCAAGCAACGGCAGTACACGGGTGGGATGTTGGCTGGTGGAAATCGAGAACCTGAAGCGTGGATGTGAACGCACGGGTTGTAGGCGTGTTCCAGGCAGTGTTGGGTAAAGTACAGTGTGCCTCAAACTTAACGCCGCCACGGCATTTGCTGTTTATGACTGTCTCTGCGGCGGTCGATTGAACTATCTGAAGAATGTTTGGGTTCCAGATTTCTATCCCGTCCTGACAAAACATCCAAAACGTTGTGGTGACAAATTTAACAGTGAGTAGCTGACAGAAGCTCAATGTTCGGGAATCCGGTGGCATTAAGTTTGGGAAGCACTGTACATCTAGAAAGTACTTGAAGTACAAAGTAAATTGGAGCTTATGCACTTCAAGTAAGCTAGTAAACACACCGGGCGATAAAGTAGAAAGTACACCGGGCACGATGTACTTGAAGTAGTTCTATAAATGCAATGCACTTTCATGGTACAAGTACTTAACACAATCTTTCATGATGCCCTTTCATTCTCCTGTACAGTCTATTTTTTAACTGGTATGATCGCTTAGGGGTAATAGACCCTCTCTTAAATTCAGTGCCATCTGGTGGTTAGAATAGCAGTTTAGATTTTGCCATATCAATGGCGGAAATGAACTTGAGTCGGCACGGTCACTTTCGCAAGTCAACGGCACGCGAGAAATTGTTCAATGCGAGTTCCTTCTCGATCACTTTCAGTTCGATGGTGACCAAGAACCTGCAGTCAAAACAAAACTCAAACTTGCGCAGCTGCCTCGAGAACATTCTATACACCGAAGGGCTTTAAAGCCGATTGTGTGCCGCCCACAGATTGTCTGAATCAGAGTTGGAAGTGAACGCTTACGTAGTTCTTGTATTCCATTCCAACGTCGCTTCTGAACCCCCGAATGTACAGGCCTCGCACCATTCGCTTAGGAGCGTCTTCAACGTTTTCCTTTATCAGTCACTATAAGGCCGCCATTGGTATGGCACAAATGCCGTTCCACACATGATGATAGTGGCCAGACTGAATTTCGGAAAGGGTCTATTGGTAGTGCATCGGTCATTTTCGGAGATGACAGTTAATATTGGATAAAGGCAAATGACCACAGAGTTGTTCTTTTACTCTACGAACTATTTACAATGAACTTATAAGGCATATATTTCTTGACAAATAATGATTTTGTAGGGCTGGGTGTCGATTACAATGTTTAACCCGATTAATCGCCGCCCTTTAATCTATTAAAAGCAAAAAAGAATGTTTTCTTGCCTTTGCTGAATATGCGACAAATGCTGCAGTAACATTTTTTTTTTTTTTTTTTTTTCAAGTCATCTTCGATGTGTAGTTTATAACAGTTCAAAGACTGTCACAGTTGCAAATTATTACTTCAGCTCCACGAGGCAAAGAGGTTTGTTTGCATTCTCCGGCAAGAGCGACATCCCTTGAATGTTCACGATAATTTGACTCTCTCAAACGGCAATGTAGTGGCCTGGACACGTTTAACCTTCTGCAGTTGCCTGGAGTCGAAACTCTCGTCCCTGCTGTTTTCATCAGGCTAAAATTTTACCTACAATTAATTAATGCTTTAATCGCAATTAATTTTTTTAACCAGTTAATCGGTAAAATTCTGACGGTCCAAAAGAAAGTAAAAATTTTACGCTTTCACCACCCAGACGTGGACGAGTACACCTGTATGGAGGGCAAACTTTAAGCTAAAATTTTACCTACAGTTTGCCCTCCGCACAGGTGTATTCATCCACGTCTAGGTGGTGAAAGCGTTAAAGTTTTACTTTCTTTATTAACCGGTTCAAAAAATTAATTGCGATTAAAGCATGAATTAATTGATGGGTTAATCAATCAATGGCCCAGCCCAATAATTTTGTGATACAAATTTAGCAAGACCACATTTGGGAAATGTACTTTGAAGTCGGCAGTTGTAAAGCACAACTACATAGTTGAAGTAGTACTTTAAGTACAGTGTACTTAAAGTACTTCCCAACACTGGTTCCAGGTGTTAAAACACCGTCGAGGGGGTTTGAAACGTCCATCCGTGCGTCCAATGTGGGGCACAGTGGGAGAGAATCGACTGATGTCTGGCCAAATACGCTTTCCCAGGCCCTGCGCCTCTTCGACACCGCCCTGTGATGCGGCTCGCTTGCGGGAGCAAATCCTCAAGGCCCGGAACGCAAGGTGCCGGGCGCGCTTCCCGGTGCCGGTCATCCTCTACGAAGGAAAGGTGGGCCCGCTTCGGAGGTGGCCACCAGTCTCTAGGCTTCTCTGGCCTCTCCTTTTTTTGTTGTTGTTTGTTTGACTTTGTAGTTTTTGAAGCACTTGGCCAACCGACCTGCAGTCACCAATTCGAATTGAATCCGAGCCGCCTGATTTGAACGCCCAGTGCGGCAGCGAAATCGTAAATTTCGGTTGCCTTTTTAGGATTAACTCGATGGGTGACATTGATCTTCTTCCCGTGGTGTCGGATCTGTCCTATGTTGCATAGTTTCAGGGCTCTGAAACTTTAGCCTTTCTATTTTTGCCCTCGGCTGCTAATGTTGTAAGAAGCCTAAAAGGCAAGACTTTGGAAGGCCTTCCTGTGGTGCTACTATGCGTTACGTGTTGCGACTAGTGTTCTGGTGTTCATAGGATGCTGAATCGGTCAACCTGCCTTGGCCAAAATGTAAACCATTTGGCGCTGCGGCTAGTTTCTCTGTTTCAGATTCTGACAATCGTGTTCTCTTGCATAATTTTTTTTCAGCGCATCTGTCGGTCGGCCACCCTTTCCAGTGGTCCAGAGATTTATGGCCGCTACGGTTATGATTATTTCTTCTCTGGTGCGTACCCAACGTTTGTGTCCTCTCTCTCATTTATTCGTCTGGTTTCATTATTAAGACGCTGACTAATTGTCGTAATAATAGTGATTCTGACGATATGGGTGCGCTTGGTTGTTCTGAAACTTGCTGTAGAATGCAATAATGACAAGGCTGAAAACGCAGTTTCATTTCTCTAATCCCAGTAGTTGTCCTGTAATATGCCTCGCAGCTGTAGGAAATCGCGCACCGCCGCCAATTCTCCATTTCCCACGTGGTCCGTCAACAACAAGTCCAGCCAGGTTCTTTCATGGGACCGGGATTCCGCTCCCCTTTTATTGGTACATAAAACGCAGCTCTCAAAAACACTTACTCTACCATACAAAGACACGCGACACCGCACTAATATTCACTCGCCCGTAAAGTCGAAGTTAAACATAGAGAGGGCCCCCAGGCCTCGTGTCCTGCGATTACCCTAGATCCGGTCGCACACACTTGAATGTTTTCGGTGCCGTCCGGAGTCCTAAGAGGCTTTTGCCTCCCGGTCCCCTTGACTATATCGATCGATGGGCGAGGAGGCCTGCCCTGGGCGCCTGCAGCGCCATCCAGTGGCTAGGAGAAAAAGCGGCACGTCGGGAGCCGAATTCGAGATCCCAATCGACCTTGCGGCAACATGACCATGTGATGGCGTCGGAGACGAAACTGCATAGCCGCCTCGCGGCCACGATGCCAAAGTGGTTTGATGGGCGCCCTCGTGAATGCACTGTGCGCCATACAGCTTGGGACCTTCAATAAGTAATAGTGCTAGCCTTCCAATTTACAAGGAGGAAAAGAAACTGTTACTGTGCTGTGTGCGAGCATTATTTATCCTTTAGCTCATTGCAGATGACTGATGCACACTGCACAGGTGCAGCTCTTCCTGCAGTTTTCAGGGGGGGGGGGGGGGCGGCATTTTGTTGGTATGCTGGTACCAGCGATAAATGCTGGTCCTGTCGTTTGTACCGCTGGTATGCTTATGTGCGGTTTCGCCCCACAGTGGACTGCCTTGGAACACTTAAGGTTCTTAAATCGCCTACATGGTGCACGAGATGCTGTACCTAACCGTTAAACAGTGTGCCGTGGGTGTTGCAGATTTGGCTCGTAGCATTTGGTACAGCCCACCGGCTGACAGTGTTCCATCCGACGCGCAGAGCAACCACCCGAGGTGGACGTAGCAGCAGACTGTGCCTCGGAGTGCGGAAACGGTCACAAGGCAGAAGAGGGAAACGGCGCCTTGAAGGAGTCGTCAATCAACCAGTCCTCCAGGTGGGTGGAGCTAGATCGGTCTACTCGTGGAGTACGTGGCCGTCTGCCGCAGCCGAATTTACGAGAAGAGATGTTGACGCCTCCCAGATGAGGAAGCTATGGTGCTGAAACAAGCTCTATGAGAACACCAGTCGCAGCTGGACAGTCCAGGACTATAGATGCCATCGATTCCGCAAAAGGCTCCAATAGTTTCACAGCAGACTGTGACCGCGTGTCGCCCCAAATTGCAGGCCTCGTTTGCTCAGATTTTGCCTCTAGAGTTTGTATGTGCATACTGCAGCAGTCTTCCTGAATGGAGCTCTGTTTAAGAGCAGACTCGCAAACTCCCATCTTCTGCGAGTCTGATCCTGTCCTCCTTTCCCCCAATCGCAATTGTGGAGTCAAAGGTAGTAGGAACAAAGTTGTCATAAACGGACTGGTGTGCGTGTTGACGCCTGTGCCGATGGTCTGAACGGTCGGCGTGGCTATATTTGCTCCTTTTTTATCTCTGGAGTTTATTATCTCTCCTTGATAGTCTGCTGCTTTTCTAGGTTTCGAGTTGCAACCTGGCCTGTAATCCTCCCAAACTACTCCACAGCTTTTCGCCACAATGTACGAAGTGACAGTGATAGCTCTTATCACGCATAGTGACACGCACTTCGATATGCATATCTACTCCTTATTTACCGAATCGCAAACAACACAGCCTTGTGGTCTCCAAAGCCCAAGAATAGACGGCTACTGTTAAGGGCAATGGGTTGCTTTTCATCCGATGGTACACGCAATTGGTTCTTGGGTGGGGTTTGTGAGGAGCCACTCGTTTTCCCGACTAGTGATATTGACCTCCGGTGATGGGTGGTAGTGAAGCTTCGAGGCATGCCACTGGGAAGTTTTGAATCGCGGATTTCTTTGTCGGGGTTGGATGTTTCGGGTGAGGTATACATGTAAGAGACAACACTTCTGGGGGCTTTCACATTGCAGGCATCTTTATAGTTGAACAACTCGTCCTTCACAAACTCTCTGCCTTACCCCTTGGTGCCGCTTACCATCAGCATTCGTGACATCGGCGTTGTGACGGGCGGAATACTCGTGACTTTGCCAAATCGTGTGACCGTGTTAAACCAGGCTAGTTCTCTGGTTAAAGCCAAAAGGTCTCTTTGTTGAGGGATGAACTGCTCCGTTTAAATATATGGTCGCATGATTTGATGTCTTGGTTTTCTGCCAGGTGCAAAGTTGACGTTGTGATTGCAGCAGCAAAGCCCCCATAACAGCTATTACTGTATTGTTAATAGACATGACTTTAGCTCTCTCGTCACAGGCTGTAGTAGGCGAGCGCTCGCCGGTGAACAAAATGTTTGTTTTGCGCAGTGACTGGCAGCTGTTCACCAAAGTGAGGAAGGAAGACATCCGTCTGCTTCAGATAATGTCTGTCAACCTCATCTGCGACTTCATGGTGGAGAAGAAGAAAGTAAAGATGTGGATGAAGTGAGTGTTTTCTGCCATCCCGCGCCACGCGGATTTAATGGTCTCGTTCGTCGAGTAAAAGTTCCGTCCTTGGACGTCGTATGTCCTACCCCTTTAAGATTTGCTAAAATTTGAGCCGTACATGGGAAAGGGTTGGTTCTTCAGCTCTCCAGCTGAAAAAAGCTGCTATTATTCAAATTTTCAATTCTAGGTGGAATTCTCAGGATGTAAAGGGGCAGCTCTAAGGGTATTGTTTGGATGGCAGTTGAGTGCAAGGGGGGAGCAGTTGTTGCCAAGCTTTAGTTGTTTGAGAAATTGGTCCTGTCTCTGCTGTGTCGCACAAGAGACCCCTGTCGCTTCGAGACTAAACTTAGCCCGTGCCTGGTTTTTGTCCGTTCTCAGTGTGACGTCATCGGAGAAGGTGGACAAGGAGAACCGCTACAACGACTTTGCCATCCTTGCACTGCCTTACCCAGGCAAGTTCCTTGAGATCCATAGTAACCCTGAGACGTAGGAAAAATAAAAACGGACAATACAACGAAGTCTCTAACACAGCTTGCTCATGAACTGAAGATTGAGGTAGTGACGATAAAAACGATGACGAACACGACTCTAAGCCTGCACCAGGAATAATTAGTGAAAGGTAAAAAAACGCAGGCGAGCTGGTGAATGATATCCGTAGTCATTCACCAGCTTGCCTGTGTTTTTTACCTTTCTTAAAAAGTTCCTCGAACCTTGCTGGAGGTTAAAGAACATGCGCAGCTAATAAAATCTGAAGTATTTTATTCGAACTAGAGTGAAGGGAAATACCATGGGCACTTAACATTGTGCACAGGTACAGTGGTGTGCGAAGGCCCGGGAATGTCGAAACTGCTTTGCATAATCCTCAATCCCTAGCTGGTGTAGGTGTCCTGGTTATCTCCAGAGGTGGAAACGGAACGTCTTGAGGGTACTATACAATACTAAGAGCACCTACCCAAAAGATGGGCCTAACAAGCGCCCATCCCCTATTTTCCACCTCCAAGAGCAATAAAGTAGGAGGGTCACGTGGTAGGGAGTCCTTGCTTGGTCAGACCATATGGTATGGAATATGTACAGGGGTCCAGCGGAACCCGGTGTTCGAAGCAGCCTCGCCACTTGCTGTAGGCATGCTTTCTGCCGGCTCTTTTGCGTCCAGCTTTGCTCCAGCTCGCTGCGTTTTGGCATGCTAGAAGTAGCTGGCACGGGGCAGCACCTGGATTAGCTCAGTGGGCTGGGAAGTTTGCCTGGGTGGGCTCTTGATATGTCCTTTGCTTATTTTTCGGATGTTTCACAAGTAGATTAGTGCTTGCTGCGACATGGGCAGATGCTTGGTGTTCTATGGTGGACATCATGGAGCAAGGCAACAGATTTGATCTGTGTGGCAGGATTTCTGGACTCATTTTTTTTAAAATTTAAAGTCTCCTGGCAGTGGTTGGACGGACTATTGACTGTGGGTCTTGACCTTGGAAAGTAAAATTCCACGGCGAGCTGAAAGCGTCTCGCCACAATTTTAGTTTGTCCTCCTCTTCCTCACCTCTAGGCTGCGAGTTCTTCAGGGGCTACCGGGACAACGAGTACAACGGGGAAGGCCTCGTCTACGACTGGAGCCAGGTGCGGCGGTCGGGATTGCCGCTGCGCCAAGTTGCGGTGGCAAGCTTTTTTTTTCCCTATTGCTAACCGAGGTTTTTTTTTTTTTTTTTGCAGGCATTTGTTGATGTTGCCCTCGACATTCCAGACGACACCATTTCTTCGCAACTCAACATTGACTGGAAGAAGTACACCGTGAGTGTTCTTTACTTGGTTCATGTCCGGAGTTGTGTAGTATTGTGTGGAACATAGGCACACGAGCTGCATCTCTGGGGACCCGGGGATTTCCCCGGAATCCCAATTTTTCTCGACCATCCCCGTTTCCAGATGAAGTGCTCTTCCAATTTAAGCTCTATTTTAGCAGACCTGAGCCACTCGCATGTACTCAACCATGAACCAAACACTCCCTAGCATGCACATTATTGTTTGCAAGGTCTGCAGGCTCTCCTGCGCTGCTTTATTGCACCAATGCAGACACCAGGACGGTTTCCCCAAGTTTGTTTGCCTTTCGAGGCTGATGGGGTTCCTCGAGATCCAAGGAGGCAGATAAGGGGTTCAGCAATGGACAAACTAGCCATTGCTCAGACACTGGGTCGATTATGACCTTGGGGATCTGCTCTGCACACCGAGGGATCTTGACTTTTGAAAGTTTGTTCTTGTTTTCTGTCGGGTTCTCCAGACGTGGGACGTGGTCCGGCTCACTCAGAACTACATGAAGCTCCTGCTCAAGTACATCTTCGACGGTGAGCAGTCTTCGGCGTTCCAGTTTTTTATTTCTTTCTTTCAAAGTGTCTTCCTAAAGCCTCGTGCTCTGTTGCGTTTGTGTTGTGTTGTGTTGCGTTTGGAGGAAATGCAAGCATGGTCTTAACTCTGTGTCACTGTTTGCGTACAGTGCAGACGAAGGCAGCGCCAGGCAAAGAGAAAAGGCGGGAGAGGAGAATGAAGAGCACTAGGAATGTTAGAGAGGGCAGGACGTTTCTCTCCTCCACTGTAGTTTTTTAGTGCTTGCCCTTTTGCCTGGCACTGCCTATACCTGTAGTGCACGCAACTAGTGGCACGGAGTATAGTTAATGGGTCTGAAAGGGGTACTCGTACTACTATGTGTATGTATTGACTCGTAAGTCTACCTTTTTTTCTAGTATAGTGTATTTAAAGTATCCAGAGGAGGATAGCATACATGACAAGGACAGGACTTTGCTCTTGCTTTGAGATGCGAGTTTTAGACCTTACCCCGGCATGTAAAAATGAATGACCTTTCTGTTTGCGAAATTCGTGGGTTTTTACGCTGCCAAGGGTAGACATTTGGACAAGAACAATGACAGCAGGGCTTGCTGCATGAAAAACCACAAGGTGCACTTTGTGTCTTGCATTCTACAAGTGGTTTACCATCTTCCTCTGTCCTGCGGGAAAATTTATGTCGGACAGACTGGGTGTTGCCTCAACGACCGCTTGAGGGAACATAAACAGTCTCTTCAAACCACCACTGGAAGCCACTTAGCCATCCACTGCAGAACCTGTGGATGTGATCCAGATTTTTGTGCAACAACTGTTCTAGCTTCCCATAAAGAAAAAACAACAAGAGAAATAGTGGAAGCCTTTTGGATAAGAAAGCTCGAATCCAAATGTGTGAGCCAGCCATCATTAACACTACAAGACAGCGAGTATGAGTTTATGGGGGCAGCTGCGCACAAATAGGTGAATGGTCAAGGCTTCGGAGTGCCGGCACTGGACATGCCTAGGACTTTGAGAGATTGATTTTCAATTTATTTTGTTTTCCTTTTCAGCTATAATTATTTTAGGTGTAATTTTATTTAGTTTATTAGCTTTTTCACATCTTTCTCTTTTCCGATATATGTTCATGTGTGTAGTTTTCTTCCTTCTCCTTTTCATAGTAAATCGTCAGTTGCGAGTCAGCGCTTGCCTGTTCTGTCTTCCTTTTCTGTCCCTCTCCTTGTGCGCTGTTTAATTATGTGTAGACATTTGGTAAGGATCAGCTTATATTTGGCATCTACTTATACATGGCAATATATCATAGATTTATAGAGGGACTCATGAGCTCTCACTAGTAGCATTCGGTGCAGACTTACCAAAATAGTAGTTGCAGAACTAAAACTAAACCAATGACACCGCCTTGCAGTCTGGGCTTTTGGACCCAGTAAGAAGGCGAGCCATGCAGAACGGGATGGGCCGCACTTTGCCAAATAACACGATTCATCGGTCGGTTTTGACCACATTTGTGCCGAGCAGCAGCCGCAGAGTTGCAGACGGCTCTGTGAGAAGTGACGTTGCAACCATTCGCCCCTAATCCAGCTACGCATTTCTTGCTATCGGCCTTTTGGGCTGGTTACGGGGGCACTTAGTAATGCAGCGGTGCTAGGAACTAATTTACGACCGGCGTGTTTACCGTCGTATCCCGTCCACGCATCCAATGCACCCTCGAAGTTGCAACGAATGTCGTCGCTGAATCCGGCATGTCGCGTTGTTGGATGTTGCGGCAAGAAGTAAGAGGCTGTCAAAGCTTCCATGGACCGTTTCGCCGGATAGCAACCCTCGGAATCGCTGCATCCGCCACCACCGCTGCGACTCGGTCAGGATCGCACCGGTCGGAGAAGAGTTCCAGGCTTAATGGCGACGCGACTGTGGCCTGCGTTGTGTGCAGGCAACACGGGGCTGCTGGTGCACTGCATCTCTGGCTGGGACCGAACCCCTCTCTTCGTGTCCCTGCTGCGGTTGTCCCTGTGGGCCGACGGGCGCATCCACCCGTCACTGACAGCCAACGAGATGGCCTACCTGACCGTTGCCTACGACTGGTTCCTCTTCGGGTTGGTCCCGGGATTTTTGTTCTGCTCTTTGGTCTGGATACCTCTCGGGCCGCGACACATGGTAATCCGTGGAACAGACTGAACTGTGACATGCAAGTGTAGGCATAGGCGGCATCCTGCGCTGTGCACACGCAGGTGTTCAGTTTTCTGTAAAGAGCGCTAGCATTTTTTTTTTTAGATGTTTTTGTGACACACTCATGCCTTTTGCTCGTTTGTGGATTGATTTTGAAAATTTCAAGCACCTATCGATTTGACTTGTGCAACTGCATCTCGTGGACCGACATTGTTTGAGAAAGTTTTCCACGGTCAACGAAAAGCCCTACCTCCCCGGTTGCCTATGATTTGTTTCTCTTTGTATCATTCCCGGGATTTGTTTCTTTCTATGAAGACTTCTAGGGCCTTGAGATCAAAGTAAATTCGTGGAACCGGCACGGCTAAAACGTGAAACGGAAGTGACACGTTGTCGCCTGTTAGATGTAGCGGTTCTGCGGCGTAAGTGCAACCGATTCCTATGGAGAGATTCTGAGCATCTCTCATTTTTGTTGTGTGTTCGTAACTTTAACGGTTTTGGGCGGATTTCGGAACTTCAGGCAACGATCAATTTGTCTCGTCTAACTGCATTTTGTGAACCAGAATTGACTAAAATTTAATAAAGTTTTTTTTTTCTTCTCTCCCGTTTTTGTGTTGCCATGGTAATGAATCTTGTTTTGAAATGATGAAACAACAGATGTCCTGACTGTTCTCTGGTTCTTGCGGCCTGATATTTGTGCTTTTGGAATTCCTTGCAGCCACCACCTGCCAGACAGGCTGGAGAAGGGGGAGGAGGTGAGCGGCCATTTCTTTTCTAATTTTCTGGTTTCTGTGGTTCGCTAAGTGTGCCGTGCGGCACATCTTGCCTCTAGGACGAGTTGTATTCGTAAGCTGTAGCTTTTGTTGTAGCAAAGACTCTCTCGCACTAGTGTTAACGTTCTTGGAGTTCACTGTTCATTTCTTGCAGCGTGCTTGCATATTTTGAGGCTCAAGGGTTGTCTCGAAGGTAGTTTTGTGATAGCTTGGCCTTGCTGATGCGAGGACCCTGTGGAACTACATTGGCAGTGCAACTTTAGCTAAAATTACACATTTTCCCAACAACCCCCCCTTCCTAATATTTGATTTTGCTTTCAGTCGTTAGAGCGAGACAGTATTTTAGTGTGCTTTTTTTCCGAATGTAGACTTTGGGACGGACGAGTGGTCTACTGTGTCTGAACGAGCTTCGTTTTTTTTTTTCCAGATTTTTTTCTTTTGTTTCTACATGCTGAAGCACCTTGACTCTGAAGACTTCTCCATTCTGACACTGTGAGAACACTTCCTATAACCTAATTTCTTCTTTTTTTTTGATTTTGAAGGTTTAATTTTTATTTTGTGTCTTGTCTTTTGCATTCTTTTATGGCTGCTTTCAAAAGCAAACAAGATTGCTTTGAGTGCAATGGATGTGCGTTGGCTTGCAGACATTGGATCAGATATGGCTGAAGGTGATTGGGCAACTTGGTAGGATTTTTAGGCAGCCTCACTCTTGGATTTCCAAAAGTGTGGCAGGCAGCCAGGTCTGACGGGAAATCTCAACAAAAAGCCATCCGCGTCGCACCACTGAGCACATCGCTTCAAGCTCCAATGCACTCGGTAGTTGCAGTGGTGCTTAACAAAACTTTATGTGGACTTGACAGATCCCCCTGTCAAGTCCACATAAAGAGGCACGTCGGTGCCCGTTTCTGTTTTCGGTAGCCATTTTCGTTGGTTTAGCATCGGTGCCCTAACAGAGGTTTTCTTGTGTGCAGCAAGGGGAATCGGGAAAGGAGGAACACCTCCGACAGCAACTTTGAGCACATCCTGCTTGGTAGGTGGCGGCGTCGGCGGGAGTGGTCGTATGGTAGTCCTGAAAGACGTTTCTCCGCGTCGCAGAGGAAGAGCGGCTGGGCAGCAACACGAGCCTGAACAGCAGCTGCAGCTCGGTTAGCAGCAGGGACCTGCCGCCAGCCGTGTTCCCAGTTCCAGATTCGGGGGACGAGAGCTTGTCCTTCGGAAACGGGTGTGGCGGACAGTCTTTTTTCTCCCAAGTTTTTTGTTTTTTTTCCATACGTGGACAGGACGTCTGTTGTTGATGTCGCAGTTGGCGTAGGATGTTTGTCGCAATGTTACCGACTGCTTGAAAATATTCCCCGCCAGTGCTGGAGATTCGATCCCGGTTCACCACCGAGCTAAACCGCCACTGCTTTGACTATCGCTTCATATACGCTATTTGTGGAACACAGATGTGCGTACGAATCTCGTGTAATGCCCGCTTGATGGCTGCAGTTGCTGCGATGTCGCGGTAGAAAATTCTTTATTATTCTTAATTCCAAATTTAATCTGAGGAAGTATTTTAAATTAAAGGGATACTACAACGAAATTTCGGCGCTCATTTTTTGGTCTATGTGTTCAAAAGAGCAGTATCACATGGAACATACCAATATCTTGTTAAAAAAGTCTCGAAAAGGAATTTTAAAACTAATTAAACGATTAGCAAAGAGCACCTGGTGGATGTCTCTAACGCCTCGTTCGTAATGCTCGTCTAGGAACCTTGACAGCTAGGGACGGAGGTTGTCTCGTCTCCGGCCACGACGAGAGAAGGGGGGAAGGAGAAACTCCCCTCTTCCCGAGAATCCCTTTTGTGTGTTGCAGAAGTCGCTATTGTCCCCCTACAAGATTATAGAAGATTAACCCGTCACTCAAAATTCGTACAAAAGCAGTCGCTTCGATGGCTGGAACGACTAGGCCATCCTCTCGACGTCGGCCTCGCCGTAGCTTTGCTCGTCTTGAGACGACCTATGTCACGATTGCGTTGGATGTCACGTGCTCTAAGCTGGGCCTTCTCAGAGCGCTTGCCAGAGTGGGCCGTTTATAACGAAAAATACAGCCACCAGGATCAAAATACAAACGTGCAATTGTCATTTACGGATACTGTGGATCATATTCAACCTATTTTTGAACACGACGGGAATATTTCAAATTTCGTTGAAGTATTCATTTAAAATCTTCGGCTGGGTGGAGCAAGCCGCCACCCGGTTGAAAGGGTTCAGCCACCCAGAGTGGGAAATAGTCAAGACCCCATGGTGCATGGATGAGACGCCGATGCCAAACGACTTCGCCATGGCGTGTCGCAGGCCACTATAACGTGAATTCGCACGTTGCAGCATTCACATAGCACTCGCATGCTGTGTGAAGAATTCAATTCAATTCATAAAGAACACTATTTTATAAGCAAAACGTTCGTTGTCTCCACGCCGTGGCACCTCGGCCTTGCATGCCGAGGTTGCTCCTTCCGAGCGGCATTACTCGACCTCTGTTTATTTATAACTTCCCCATTTTCGTGGTCGTCAAATAGTGTTCATTAGCAAGTTCTAGATCTCGGCATTCACCCACAACTGCCAACCACGTGCGAGCCCCCAATTTCTTTTTGCTGTCAGTTCATCCCTTGTTTTCTACAGTGCAACAAACTTATAACCCGAAATTTCAATAGTTATAACAGATTATCGGTGTATCTGGTTTAGAAACTGATCATTATTAGCAGTATATTATGTGTGGTATCGTTATAAGTGGGTTGCACTGTATTCTTTTTAGGCGAGGGTGGGGAGTGGGGAGCCCTGTCGCGGTCCTACATAGGCAAATAGATCCGTGCAGCTGAATCCTTTTCGTTGTGACAATGGGGAGTGCTTAACGTCTCGTGCACCTCGTGCTAGTGTTTTTCAATGCCAACTCCTTTCTTTCATGCGACATTAGCAAGTTTTAGTGTTGCGTATATATGAGTGAACGCAAGTACTGTGCATTGACATAGAACGTTCCACACTGCGCATGCGTGGAGCCAAAACTGCGGTCTTTGACTGCCACACGGCGACGACGCTCGTGCGCGGCATAGAGACCGCAGTGCTAACAGAAACGCACGGCGCTTGCGTCTGCTTAAATGTAGTCTTCGATATCAAATTAATTGCCCTCAGAATCGCATTTACTGCCATAAATAAAATGGAAACGAGATTTGGTGCTGTTATTTGTTTGCACAGTCACAATGAGCGAGCCTGGGTTGTCCAAAGCAGTCCAGTGTGTGAACTGGGGAAAGCAGACGAGCTCGCTACGCTCGTCCTGAATGGTTTGGGGGTGACTGCAAGTTGACAAGCTAGGCTCCTCTCCCCACAAGAGTGTCTCTGAGCTACTCTCCGCAGGAAAGACGGTCTTCCTTGCTCTGGAATTGAAAAGAGGAATTGGCAGTTTCCTCTTCTCCCGGTTATTCAGTTACCTTTAAGGAGGTTAAGGTCCGACCTTTCAATATAATTTTATGAATGTTGTCACCCCTGGCGGGCATTGCAGGAACTATGTGTACCACGGTGCGAGCGGCACCCCCCCTACGCTGACCAACAGCAGCGAGAACGGATCTCCGCTGCAGCATGGCCGCTGCTTTGCCCCTCCCAGCAGTCCCGTTGCGGTGCCAACGTCCCTCAGGCAGCGCTCGGAGAGCTCCTCGTCTGTCTGCGCTGGGAGGTGCGTGCCTCGGCTTGAATGAAGCCTTTGCTGCCATCGCAGTTTTGGGGAGGCAGAGGTTTGCTGGGATCTTTGCCTTGCAGGAAGTCTGCGTTGCGAGTTTGGCCGAAGGCGCGTGATGCTGGCGTCTGAGGTTGACTTGCAGCTTATAGGACGGAAACTGGTGTGCCTTGTTGATTGGCTGCAACTGTGGAGTTGGCGTTTGCATAACTTTTGAACATGGAAAGTAGGATTGTGCAGATATTCTAATTGTAGTTTTGAATACTACGCTGTTCAATATTTGCTTTTAGATGAGCTGCGATGTTCATACTTCGCGAAGTGTAGATTGCGGCGGGTTAGCCCTGTTGAGCGCACCTCTTGTGTAGCAGGTGTGCACTGCGCACAAGCAATACCTGCTGAAGCAATCTTTGTGGGAGTTGCTTCTCCGCACTGCACTGGTGCTCGTAACAAAGCGGGCTCAACGGGGTTAACCCACTGCACGAACACAGTCTATAAATATTTGATTCGGAGATTTGGTTAGAACCACCAGCCACTTTATACTTGCTTTAAACTCAAACTTCACTGTTTGCACATGGCCTACTTGAAACACTACCTCTACTGGGACATGGAGCGTGACTTCCTATCAATGGGGTTTGTATTTTTGGGGCTTCAAACGTTCCTCGTGCCGCCTTGCCGTTTCTGGGGCTCCTTCCACCATTATTGACGGTGGCCTCTCCGCTTGTTTAGATGAAGGAAAGATGCTGAATTAAAAAGGGTATGAACCTCTCTGGAGACATGATTTCACTTTCCCCTTCTCAAGCTTGCACACCGAGCAAACGCAACCACCGGTGCTGCGACAAAAGTTTTCTCTACCACCTCCCCCCCCCCCCCCCCCCCCCTTTTTGCACATACTTTGCTTTCACTCCTTGTCAGCGTGAGCCCGTTGCTAGGAGACCGGTTGTTCGGACGTTGTTGCTCAGCCGTCTACCCCATCCCTCCCCCCACATTTCCACACCCCTCAGTTGGCAGGTGATCAACGGCACCGGATCGGTGCGCAGTTCCGTGTCCGCCAGGGACGCAGTGAGCTCTCCCACCACGCTGGAGCTGAACAGGAATGCATCGAGCAGCCGCAGCAGCCTGTAAGCATCGTCCCTTGCACCTCCGCCTCCTTAATCATTTCTCCCTTTCCTGACAAACTATCCTCTACTGGACGTCTGTCCTGGTTCCTTTCGAGGCTTCCGATGCCTTCCTGGGGTCGTCCATTTGTCCGAAGGCACGGTTCCTCCCCACCTTCTTTTTGTTCTGCCTCTTGCATTCGACTCCTTGGTTTTTCTCTTCGGTTCAACCTCTCTGGCTGTCCCCTGCTCCGGGCAACGGTTGTTTCTCGGCGTGTGCTGCAAGCGTGCGTTTCTTTTTGAACGTCTTCCTTTTGTTTTTGGAATTGCGGTTTGTGCTGTCTTGTCTGGGCAACCAGGTTTTGTTTTCGACCCGTGGGCCTTGAAATATAGGCTGCCCTTTATCCTGTTTTAGATTTGGCATAAAGGTTGCCACATTCACAGCCAAGCTTGCATTCTCTGTGGCTTCTTGGTGCCGCAGTTAATCGACGCAGGGGCAGCTCTTTTGTGACTAACTGGCACCAAGTTTAGCAAGAAGTCTGTGGTGGTGTACTTGATCACACGGTAAGTGCACCTAAGGTACAGACAGGTGCCTGAGTGATCCAGCGATTTGAGCAGTTTGGGTTCTTCATGCAATGCCTCAATCCGGCGACGGTCTTTTGTAGTTTCTGCTGCAGTGGCTCACCGTCAAAGTGCCAATCTACAGAAGGATAGCTGGCGGGTTTAAACCCAAGCTTATGGCACTCTAAGCATCCTATAATGAAGACTGATAAAACTTAAAGATCCCTAAGGGGCCTATGTGAAACCTGAAATCTTCGCTGGGGAGTGTAGGACGCTCTTATTTGGTTTGGCACAAGACACCGCCCTAGGATAGGCGGCGCAAGCTACCACCCAGTGCTAAGGGCTCATACGTTTCTGCTGCGTCCCTTTGCAGCAACGGCCGTCACCTGGAAGACAAGGCAGACGGTCCCTTGCAGCGCGCCGTCCTGCTAAATCGCCGTCGTCAGCGGCTACAGGACGTACGCAAGGTCATCGACAACACCTACAAAACCATCATTGCCGGCCGCTTCTCCGGCGGGAGAGCAGACGGACTCGGCGGCTTCCTGCAGAAGATGGGACTGAGGTCTCCGGCCAAGGCCACCGCCGTCTGACATCTTGCACGGTCGTAGTGTACTCGCGACCGTTGACCGGGACCCATTGTGGAGTGCAGCGGATGTGTCGGCGCAGTCTGGAACATTGCTCGGTGTGCCCTTTCACATTCCTGTCGCGCTCCGCATGTGGGCGGACTCGCCGTTGATTCCTGCGGCACATTGCCGGATTCTGCTGATGACTTGTCGTCTGTTACGAGGTGCCTGGGACTAACACTTGGAAGTGGGTCTTCGCCGGTTTGCTCACGGTTGCGTTATTTGGGAATTGTCTTTCGGCGACGTTCGGCGTTCGAGCTGGGAGCGTGTCGTAGCGTGTCGTGTCTGCCTGAAGAGCGTGCCTGGTTTTGAGGATTTGTTTATTTTATTTGTCCTTTCTTTTTTTTTTTTTTTTGTAAGCTTCTCATTGTTCGCTTGCATTGTACAACGGAGAAACGTCACTTACGTGCCACAAATTTCTGGCAATTTCCGACGGAGTTTGCTTCTTCAAGGCAGCAGAGATCTTCGGCGCTTTCGTTGAAGCAACTTTTTCGGCAATTGTCTCGTTCCTCCTTTTTTTTTTTTTTTGAAGGCCTACTGGTGTTACTCTTTGCAGTGTAATGATAGTTGACACTGCTCTGCACTCATGGTGTCAGGGTATGAAATTTATAAGCATTTTGTAAAGGATGTCTACAAGTTTCCATACTTTTGTCCGTTGCCAGTTCTGAAGCCTCGGCGTGACCTGCCATGGTATGGCACCCTACTACCCCAGTTGGAACATAACAAACTGAGTCAATCATTTGGACGGTGTATTGTGCCTACTGTTCTCAGGCCTGGGCATACTTCTCACTTCGGTGTAACTGCCAATATGAGGTTTTTGTAAGGATGCTTCGATGCAATGTGCCAGAAGGATGAATAGTGAGATCTAGAATGATGTCCCGCTTGGTGAGCGAGGACTTTTGGATTTCTTAGTTGAAGCGGTCATGAATGTGGTTCTGATCTATGCAGTCTATGGCGCTCTTGTTTGGTGGACCCTCCATCTCTGATTACACCAGATTATTTTTAGCAACCTTTTTTTATGTTAATGTAGATTTCTTGCGCACTGCCATCTCTGTTCGGTCCACTGAACTACAGTGCGATCCACATGAAGGTTGACCCATATGTGAATAAATTCATTGATTGAGTATCCCATTGGCTTTGGAACTTGTTACTCTACCAGAAGGAAAATGACTTAATGAGCATGCTTTACAATGTGCATGTGAATGCCTCAAGTTATCTAGAGGTCCCAAATCCTCTAAAATTAAAAAATTGGCGATGAGATGGCATCCAACTGAGGCATTGCGTACTGTCACTTGGGTTGTCTATTTTCTAGTCTTTCTTTCCCATTCTATCTGTAAAATTCTCTCTGCTGCTAACCAGGGATGGGCAAAATACATGCAAATATGTATTGACATACAAATACAAAATACCTCGTCAAAAGTGTATTTGATTACAAATTAATTTCCAAAAAAGCATTTAAGTACAAGATCCAAATACAACCAAATGTATTTGGTCTCCTCTAAATACTTTTCCAAATACATTCCTCAAAATTTGCGTCAGCGACTTCAGGGCACCTGCAACAGGTTTCTGGGTATCTCATTTTAGTTTTGCTTTGCACACTCGGGAGTTAGTGTGCGAGGCTCTAGTAACATAGTAAAAATATAATCACAAAAAATGTAATCGGCTTGGACATAATAGGTGAAAAAAGTAGAGCTTCAAGCAGCTTTTTTTGTAGATTACATTTTGGTGTAGACCAACAAAGAACCGAGACGACCAAGACGCGCAGCACTAGCTGGAGATTTTTTATTGTTGCAACTCGCATCAGTTACGAAAACCTGGACGACCCGCACATTTGTAATGTTCCAGGCAAAAATATGGATGGAAATCAGGCTGGAAAGCATCACAAGTTGTCACAGGCACTTATTTAGCCAGTCTGTCCTGTGAACGTCGATTTCGCCACTATTCTTGCCCTGGACTGGCACCGTAATCACAAAGTCACTAAACGCAAGCAAAAAGCGCCGAAAAAATACAGGGACACAGACGAAGGGAAACGGGACAAGCTCTAAACGCTTGTGCTTGATTGAGAGACACTGCATTCGGTGCAGAACGTAGATTTCTTCCTGCTCTGGACAGTGACAATAAATTTGAGGGATGTATTTTCGCCCACAAAATTGTATTTAATTACAATTGTATTTGAAATACCCGCGTTTTAGTATTTAAATACACACGTCAAATACATTACCCAATTTGTAATTAAATACAAATGCAAAATACACAAGGTATTTGAAATACTGCCCATCCCTGCTGCTAACTAAGTATTGTAAAAGCTTGGTCTGCTGGGCAAGTTGATGGTGGACATTCATATTAAAAATAGCGCAAAAGAGATGGGACAAAAAGACTAAAAAGCACACAGGACAAGCGCTAGCGCTTGTCCTGTGTGCTTCTTGTGGGCAATTTTATGTGGCTATGCAGTGGAAGGTACGGGAGTGTGAGCTTGAGCGCTGGTGTGCATGCTCACCCCTCCCCATGTCGGAAACGTTGCAGGAAGTTGTCCATGAGGACAGCTCGGTGATTTTACGGTAGTTGGGTGTGCTTTATTCCCAAACAAGTGGTTTGCCTGGTTATAGCTTGCAAAAGACGAGGACAAAGTGGAGAACGACAGACAAGCACTTGTCTGTCGTGTTTGTTCTACACTTGCCCTTGTCTTTTGTACACTCTTTTAGCCAGAACGAATACCTACAAACTAGCCCGGTTTTCGACCCTTCTTCAGCTGCCTGGTTATTTTTGATAGTTGCCCAGAGCTCCCTTGTAGACTACTGCATTGACCAAAAAATAAAATGGTGTACCTTTTCGTTGGGGACTGATTTTCCATTAAATACTTGCAGTACAGGGGGCGTTCTCATAGCTGGTCTCCTTCGTCCGAGCTTGAAGCCGGGCATCTAGCTGGGATCCTCAATCTCTTCGTATGTGGGGTGTAAATTGCTGCTTACCTCCCTCCTCTAAAGACAAATGCACTCCGATGCATCAACTACATGATTGCGTGACATTCTATATGCTCTTTGAGTGTGCTGGAAGCTACGTGCTTGCTGGACCGTTTGTGCATCCATCTTGAGACACGTATATCTTGCACTCGTTGATAGCCACGTGCAGAGAGTGAAGTCGGGTGATGAAAGGTAGGCGGTTAATTAATCCAGCCAATAGCGTAGCTGAGCTCGGAGGTAAACTAAGCTCCGATAATAGCGAGTTTGTTTCATCGCGCTCGGGTCCACACGTACACACCTGTAGCCTGACAGCAAGTTCGTTTTGGTTGGCACTCTGCTCAATTTGTACTTGCTTGCACAGAGAGGATCTGGTGTGTACCAGTACCCAATCCTGTCATGCATTGCTCGGGTGAAGAGCGAGAGCAAAGGACTCGGAGAACAGTTATTGGCCTGCTGTCAGAACTGATGAAAAATTCTATTGTCTTCTAGAAATTGTGTTCTACGAGTGATGGAATTGGATGCAAGCGTATTGCGAGCGTCCACTATTTACGAACGAAGCAACCTACAACCCATGCCCCCTTTGCAAATTTCGAATTGTTTTGTTGCCGTACAGGGGCTGAAATCTACCTGTGGTTTAAAGAAAAGCCAGAAAGGCTCTGGACAAACGTATCTGTGGCTGCGAGAGACCTTGTCATCCATGTGCGGGTGAAAAGTTTTTACCAGAAAAGCGGGCAAAACATTTATCGATGGGCAGCTGTGAGGCTACGTCCAATTATTGGTGCTGTAGGCCAATCGACAGCCGAGAAAGCTCATCCTTGAAGCTTTCATCAGGGCAGAAACTGAAATCGAACCAAGCCGTAAACGACCAAGGATCGAAATTGAAAGGGCTGCGAAACGTACTGTTCTGCGGAAACGGTATGGACATATATCTCTCCAGAGCATTAGAAGATTGCTCACATTTCGTTAACTCTTACGGCTGTTGCGTTGTCAGCTTTAAGGCTGTCCACACAGAACATACTTTCTACTGTGAACAGCATTTACTGGATGGAAACAGGTTGGTACACTTTAAGGTGTTTGGCCGGGGGAAAAGTCGCCGTTCACTAGCATCTCGTTCGTTGGTGGCTTTTGGCGTCACGACCCCTTGCGCCATTTCTCGTCTCCCCTGCCAAACATGCCCTATTGTTTGAAGACCGGTGGCTTTGCTGCGTTTCCATAGGAGTTAAGCTTTTTTCTTTTTAGAGCGCAGCTCTTAGGCGCCCATATTTCCGGCTTGAGCAGCGTCGGTGTAACCATGCAGTGCATTATGAGAACTGTCCCATAATGCATTGCGCGGGGATGAGGAGGGAGGAGAAGGGGAAGGTGCAGAGGAGGAGGAGGAGGGAAGAGGGGTATAACATTCCCTCCTCTTCCTCAAGAGCTGCGCTCTAATTCGGCATTACAGGGTGTTACAAACGTCTTTAATTTTTTTTTTACTTTTTCCTCAGATAAGTTTACTTGGTGCAAATTTTATAGAAAAAATGCACCACCTGTGGGCAACGCTGGACAAAATCGTAGTGCGATTGGGTAAGGAACCGGTTTTTGCTGTCGATTTAAAGAACCTGGCCGCTATTTGAGACACCCTGTAGCATGTAAGCGTTGACACACTAAGAATTTGGTACACAGAACTGCGGCGAACTGGTTTCTTTTATTGTTCTTTTTATCCGTCTGAGTGATTCTTTAGTATGCCACCGGTGAATCCTTAGCGCAGCGGTCGCTAACGGGCTTTGTTGGCTAAGTCAGCTAGGTAGCGCAAGCTGCCGCCCAATTGAAAGGCTTCAGCTGCTTTAGCCGTATTTTCTAGTATTTATTTACATATCCGTCTTTACACCCAACTTCAATATGGCGGTCAACCTTCGCACCCTTCGCACTCGGGATCGGGCGGCTATCCTCCGTACATTTTAACGCCGCGTTCTGTTTTCTGCAAGACGCGTACTACAAACTCGTCCGCGCATTTCGCCTTAGACTATCGGAACCCAAACGAAGCTGGCTCTGGAACGTAATGTCAGCTCATCGTCGGCCATGTCTGGTGAGTGTGTTTACCTTTCTCGAAAGCGCTGCTGTTGCGTGTGCGGGCTGAAGCCCTCCAAACTCCCGATCGCTCGCATCGTTTCGCATCGTTTCCGTTGCTCAAAGACGCAGTTTGGATGAGGCCGAACGTGCCCCGAGAGTGTGCCTTAATTCGTCATCGTTGTCTTACGGACGCATTAGTCAACGCCGACGACTCGCATAGTTTCCCCCCTCCCTTGCAGGTGTTGTAAAGTGCGATGTTATGCGGAGTGGGTGGGTGTGTGCTTCGTAGCCATTTCACACCCATTCAAGCGTGTCCGATTCGAAGTGTATCCGCTGCTGCTACGCTTGGTCGCTCGTCTTCCGAGGAACGGACGGGTGCCGTTGTCGCACCTAGCTGACTCACGAAACGAGCGTGTTCTCTCTCGACATCGTCCCACAATCTCGGGAACACCACTCCACACTGCCTCCCGGTTTTCTTGTCGGTTCATGGTGATTTGTTGGTAACTTGTTTGGTCGGTTGTTGGTGACGTGTTTGCGACGTTTAATGCCGATAAACGAGAAACGGATCAAAAAATTTCGCTCTACTCCCTCACTCTCGCACACACGGACACACACAGAAAGGAAGTTGCTTCTTAGGTTATTAATCGCCGAAGTTATGATCCGTGATTAAACGTCCGTGACCGTCTACATCATGATGTTATTACTTATTTTATCATTTTCTTCTGCGCGGGTTTTTCTTTTTTGTATCCGGAAGCTTGTGTTCCAATTCCTCGTCTGAAGAAAATAACTCGAGATAATCGACGTTGTTGACCCCGTTTCTTTTTCTTTCTCTTCGGTTCTTATTTGTTCTTATTTTTCTAATCGTGTGTCAGTACGCCACAGAACAATTGTTTTCGTGACTTAGCCAGGTCTAAATCGTTTCGATATAATCACCATAAACGTCGGCGTGTTCTTGTTTTTGTTTCTTTTTGCTCGGGTGGCTTTGCTGGCTACAACCATAGTAGCTTCCGCCACCCATTGAGCCCGCTATGCAGCACCGATGGCACGAAATTGCATCTGTGCAATGAAGCAACTATCCCCCCTTCCTTTCTCTCACTTTCTCTTTAACTCTCCCTCTCTCCCCCTTTCTCCTCTGTTGTGGACTGATGCATCCTGCCATTGTTTTATGCATTAGCACTTTGTCTCCCAATACAAACTGCCAGAGACTCACTTCCTGAAGTCTCGCCAACCTCAAAATGAAGGAGGAATAGCATAATAAGATTTCACCAAATGTCGTTAAGCGTCGTTTACGTTTCAGCTGACCCACCATTGTCACTTCTCATCAAATCTACCACAGAAAACGTTTCCCTTAAATTTCTTTTCGGTTCAAGCGAAGAGTTTTGCATTGTTTGTGTGTTCCAGCTATATCCGGTTGTGACTGCGGCCAGACTGCTGATCACAAATAATTTTTTGAAACCACCGAAAGTCGGCCATTGTTCAATGTTGCTAGCGGTTTCTACGATCCACGGATCCTAGAACCTGCCGAGGTGCCCACAATTTGTTGGAGGCTTGTTGCTACGAAGGCGGCAGCTGAGTTTTCGGTTGCGAATTGGAAGATTCCCAGGTGGTCCAAGTTAGTGCTCAGTGCTTAGTTTGGACGTGCCAGGTTTCTTTCGTTAGTTTGCCACATAAACCAACCCCCCCCCCAAATACTGTGCAAACAGATAACCTCACCACTTACAGGGGCTTAATTGGGTGCCGATAGATTCGGGGATAGCATTTTGGATGTGTATTGATACCAGACATGTTGGATTGTCTATCTGTTCACATAAATCATCTGAAACAAGAAAACATGGTTTCTAGGAATGGGCTCTCTTTCTGTGTTTCGTTTTTCCGAGAAACAAAAAAAATGTGAAACAGAAAATTGTCAGGTGTGACTGTAATTCACACTAATCTGTAATATCCGCAACAATTCGGTGGCTTCACTGGGCATTACCCATGTGGCTCGAAAGCATGTCTCGCATTTTGCGTGCAACAACCTTTTCTTTTGGTTGAACTGCACACAAAGAATGAATGCTCACAAAGATTGGAAGTGAGATGGATACAATACTAGACTGAGCGTTTTACTCTGTGATCGAACCGAAAGATAATTGTTGGCACAGCCTATGGAATTCCCCTCAGATTTTGATAGGGATATCTGACAGTTATGGGGGAATTCCTCTGATATGCCAATGGCTATAACGGACTTATTTATCTCTGTAGGGTCACCATTTCCACATTAGTGAGAGGTCACCAGCTGATAGTACATATTTCGTAAACAAAAAAAAACAAAAAAAAGTGCCATTATTTTGTTGAAGTTTACGTCGGGTTCTGAAGTGTCGTAAAATCAGGGAACTCATGTTGCTGTAAAATATCCATTATCTGGGAACTACATTCAAAATTTAAACATGAGCAATTTCGAGGGCATCTTATATCTGTGGGATTTCTTGCATTGCACATGCTTACTGCACCTTTATCGTATTGTGGAATATCAATGTTTGATACACTAACTGAACACTGTGTGCCAATATATGTAGTGTATGCACAAACTTTGCTTACAAATGTCATGTGTGCACCATTGCCTTATATGCAAACATATAAAAATGTTGCGCGTAGGTAGTGAACATGCCTGGATAGATATTTTTGCTGCATGCAGGTTTTGGCATGCAATTACTGCTCATGTTATTTTGAGGGGATGCTTTTCACGCATTTATACTTATAACCAATATATTTATTTGAACTGTCTTGTATGCATTTCCTTTTGCAATGTCGCAGATTATATTTTCCACGATATTATGTTTTCATATCTGATGATATATTTTTTTTTTATTTTTAGCCATTCTCTTGTAGCATTTTCTTTTTTCTCTCAGGTTTCTGTATTTTGCATACTTTGCATGTTTTTTGTATTTTTACGTTTATCATTGCATGTGCTGCCAACAGGTGCACCCTTCTGTAGGCCTAAGGGCTGTTTAGGGGCACTGCCAATGTTAAATAAATAAATAAAATAAATACACTGATGCCCAAATGTGTAATGTGCATGCAACTACTTGGCTCGGCATGCTAACCTAGTTGTTGTGAAGCATGTTTGTGCTGCAAGAAAATTGTGATCTTTTGTACATATGCTTGTATATTCCCACCTAACATTTGTTTGCAGGCTTGTTCGCACAGATACCAAGTGCAGTTAGTGCAGTTAGGCTCACCAAGCTTTTTATTTGTACATGACATATGAGAGCCCAACTACCCAGAACACAATTTGCGGCTTGAAATTCGTTTTCCTTCCGCCCGAAAACCGTCGATCAAGAACTGGCCGGTTTGAGTCACGCTCACTCTCTTCTTTGTGATCACATGCCGTTTACTATGGTTTAGACGCAACCACCGAATATAGTCAATGTCGTCATCAACGACGAAGGCATGTACTCAATATTAAAAATAGAAATGAAATATGATACCAGTTTTTTGTGGCTTCTAAAAAACCGCTAGTAAGTTGATTTAATAAAAAAAAGAAAATGTTGCAAAGCCACGTGATTTCTGCCAACTCTCTCCTCCTCTATATTTATTCTTCCTCCCCAGTCCAGTTTCTGTTTTGTTTTTGAGCAGTTGCATTTTTTGACTCTATTCAACATATAGGTGGCACTGTAGCACACTATTGATTGGGTAGTCTTCTGACACCATAATAAATCGCCTGGAGAAAAATAAAACAAAACTTTTGGGGGGTGTCAGTGTCCCTGTAAGGTTTTCTACCTTCTACCAACGTTAGGATCCTCTGCTCCACTAGGTGGATAAATGTGCTAGTAATTCGAGACCTTTGCCTTGTGTCCTGTTTAGTTCCTTCTAAAAAATAAAATGAAAAAATTAACGAATAATAGTTAAACAAAAATTTATATACACAAGAGGCAGTATTTGGAAATAGGGATGTTTAATTTTATACTTCATTTCATACCTAACATGCAAGGGGTTCACTGAGTGTACCATTATGAAGATAAGTAGGATTTCTGATAATAGGCAAAATGCTACCATTATGGTGTCTGTCTGGAAAAATACGTCTTTAACTTTCCCTTTTCTCGCTTTTTATTTTTTAAATTCAAAACATAAATAGCATAAAAAGAAAATGTAGAAAAGGAAAGGTTGAAAATTTCCTAAGTGTCTGGCTGCTGTTTTTTTGCTTTCGAGTAGAAAACAATAAGGAGTATAAGTACTCTACTAAAGTTTTGCAACGTGGTCACACATGCTTATTGATCTAATTTGACGAGGAAGTCGCAGGCTTTTCCTTGTCGGCACCGCACGTGTCAGGGTGCATACGAATCTTGCATTCGGGGAGGGAGTCCGTCTGACATCTGTTTGTGTTGGGGCCTTTAAAGTAAAAACAGATTACAGAAGGAGAGGGCGTGGAAGGGAAGAGACCCTTGAGCAGGGGCAGAGTAATTCTGGCTGCTGCTGCTGCGTTCTATTTTTAAGTGACACCCCTCCCTCCCTTCCATTGGGTGACTGTTGCGGAGGGAGCAAGTCACAGGGGGGCCACAACATAACTTGGCGGGTTCGAGAGTCAAAATATCCGAACCAGACGAGTCGGAGGGTGTGATATGTCTAGGTTTCTCTGGGTGTTTCAGATTTTATTGTCCTCCTCCTCCTCCTCGAATGCATGGTTCCATTCCTCTCAGTTCCAGTCTGTGTGGGTTTGGCTTCAGTTAAATTTGAACTCAGGATGTGGTTTTTGACCTCGCGCTGATGTTTGTCTCAGTCTTTGTCGGTGCAGACAATTATTTATTTATTTATTTATTGATACTACATCTCCGATTAAAGATTTTGTAGGGATGGGCTACAAACATCACTGACAATACAATGAGAGAAAAATCAACAGGGTCAGCACTATGCATATTACAACATTCAAAATGTCAACACGTACAGGTCTACATATAGAAAAGGAAATTTAACATCACAATACCTATCAGGTTTGCACAGCAGAGTCCACCGAGTACAAAGCAGAAAAATTCAAGAAAA